AAAACAAATTCTTATTTCCTGATAAAAGCCTTTGGACTATAATGTAACTTAAACAGAAAACAACTTTAGAAAGATTTTTCCTCCCAAAGCATTTTATTTTAAAAATCCGATTTAATTTTTTAAAAGTCCGATTTAAATTTTAAAAGTCCGATTTAAAAAATAAATAAATCTGATTATTTATTTAAAAAAATCATTTTTATAAACACCCTGACTAGAATTAAGGTTTGCTCCTTGTATTTTGAGTACAAATCAGATGAACGATGGCCGCAGGAAGGTTGTACAAGGCCCCTGATAAACATTCAGCCCTCTCTGTCAGTTCTGCCCTTCCATATCAGCATTTCTAAAATGTGAGATGTCACATCTATCACAGTTCAAGGAAACCAGAGATGCTGAACTGCGCCTTCTGCCCAAACAAGAGCAGCCCCCATCTCCCCCCCCCCCAGTCTATCTACCAAACAAATCCTTGAAAAGGTGGCCTTGGCAAGCGCTGGGCCTCTCAAGGGAAAAGCAATGCAAAGGGCAGCATGTCTAATGTGAGTTCTGGACAACACCAAGGCCAAAGTGCCGTCCCTGCCAGCAAATTGCGGCACCACACAATAGCAGAATTGGGAAGGAGCCAAAAGGCCATTCAGCTGGAACCACAGCGAAAGAACAGCTGGGAGTTCGAAGCAAAGGAGCTGCGCTTCTATTTTCTTGAAACGAGCGGCAAAGGAGGAGATGATGAAACGCAGTGAAATCTCAGCAGACGGCCGGTTTATGAGTCACATCCTAAAATTCCAGGGATTGTGTGTGTGTGTGTGTGTGGCCTCTCCTCCCCTCTCCCACACCAGAGCAGGAAGATAACAATAATACAACAATTGCAATAATAACTATAATAATAAAATAATATTGTTTGCATCCTGCCCCCCCCCCGTTATAAGAATGGTAAGGTCTCAAATGTAGAATAAAACGTTCATAAATATACCAGGCAAACCACATAAGTATAGAAACCACGTGTACAGGAGAGCAACTCTCCCAAGTTGACCTCAACTCTTTCTCTGCAAGGAGGAAGGAAAGGGGAATAATAATAAGTGTCTTTCCATTTGGACTGTAGGGGCTGCTTACCCCTCCCTTTCAAAATACCGCCTGGCAAGTATCTGTTCAGCTGAGCAAACTACCAAGATGCGCAAGAGATTCAGGAACTAATAATTTACCATCTCCAAGGAATGGCCAGGCTACCCAGAAAATCCAACTGAGTAAGGCATAATTACCATTATTAGAAAAGTCTGGGATCACAGGCAAGACCTTGCAGCAGGTGCTTCTAATCTCAGCTCGTTACAGACAGTGAAAAGACCAGATCAAATACTTATTTCACTCATTAGAATGCACATCCGTCTCTGACTTTTGTCTTCTGGGTTTCTGTGAGAGACAGAACAACAACAGGAATTCTAATGAGTGAAATAAGTATTTGATCCCCTCTCAACCACTATCTTCACTGTAAGTAACTTGCTGAGATCGGAAGCACCTGCCGGAAGGGAGAGGCCTTACCTGTAATCCCAGCTCGTTACAGTACCTTACAAACGACACTGTCGACAGAAGCAAGCAATCCAGCAGATTCCAAACTAGCCACCATGACCAAGACCCAAGAGCTGTCCAAGGATGTCAGGGACAAGATTGTAGACCCGCACAAGGCTGGACTGGGCTACAAGACTACACAATAAACCTACCATTAAAATTATAAACTGGTCATTTCTTCGTCAGAGGGCAAACGGGCAAATTTCGCAGGGGATCAAATACTTCCCCCCCCTCACTGTAACTGATTTATTTCCTTTAATAACGGTCAAGTTTCCTAGCTGCTTTGCTTCTCAATATTATTATTTTATTTTATTATTTATTGAATTTAATATACTGATCTATTACCGGGGGGGGGGGGTGTCCCTCAGGCCGGTTCACATGATGAAATCAAGATATTATAAAACCACAAAACACAAATTAAAAACAACCCAAAAAAAACACATTTTAAAAGGCCTTGTTATTTTCTCCTACAGATAGGGAACCTGCTTAAGGGCTCTATATGGGGCTCTCTAGACACCATAAGGGACTTAAGGTGTGGTTTTCCTTATAACTCCCCCCCCCCTTTAGGCTCCTTCCACGTGAATAAGAGTTCACTTTTTGAATAATAAGAATTATTGGGGTTTGTGTTCCCCCCCCAAAAAAATGACCCCTGAATTTTATTGATATTGATGCTGCATTTTGTGTTGTGTTCTGTGCTGTTTTTAAGTCGCATTTTAATCAGTTTTATATTTGCTGTTAGCCGCCCTGAGCCTGGTTTTTTAAACCCGGAAGGGTGGGGTATAAATAATAAAACTATTATTATTATTAGTTATGGGGTGGGGGGCATCCGGATTTTAGAGATGTTTAGGTGGGGCATGGCCCAAAAAAAGTTGGGAACCACAGCTAGAGAGGGACTCTAGACACCCCATAAGGCATGTGTAGGCAACCTAAGGCCTGGGGGCTGGATGTGGCCCAATTGCCTTCTCAATCCAGCCTGTGGACGGTCCGGGAATCACTGTGTTTTAATAATAATAATATTAATTTATTATTTATATCACGCCCATCTGGCTGGGTTTCCACTCTGGGCAGCTTCCAACAGAATACAGTGGTACCTCGGGTTAAGTGCCTAATTCGTTCTGGAGGTCCGTACTTAACCTGAAATTGTTCTTAACCTGAAGCACCACTTTAGCTAATGGGGCCTCCTGCTGCTGCCGGAGCACAATTTCTGTTCTCATCCTGAAGCAAAGTTCTTAACCTGAAGCACTATTTCTGGGTTAGCGGAGTCTGTAACCTGAAGCGTATGTAACCTGAAGCGTATGTAACCCGAGGTACCACTGTATTAAAAGGCAAAAACCGATTAAACATGAAAAGCTTCCCTGAACAGGCTTGCTTTTTCCCATGAGTAGAATGTGTCCTTTTATTTGAAATGCACCTCTGGGTTATTCGGGGGGGGCATAGGAATAATAATAATAATAATAATAATAATTTATTTATACGTTCATCCGTTCACCCCCCCCCAAATCTAGCCCGCCCCCCCCCAGGTCCGAGACACCGGCCCCCCGCCGCAAAGGCTTGCTTCCCCCTGGCCTGAGGGGATTGGGGCCGCCTTGGGGTCCTACCTCGATGATCTTGATGAATCGGGGGAAGACGGGGTTCCGGGCCACGGCGATGAGGGGCACGTGCGGGACCCTCTCGGGGACCATGAGGGGCGCCAGCGCCGTCACCGGCCCGCCGCCCGACTCCGCGCCCGAGCCGCCGCCCCCGTCCCCGGGGAGGCCGCCGCCTCCTCCTCCTGCCTCGCCGCCTCCCTCGCCGTCTTCCAGGCCGCCGTCCGAGGGGCCTCGCAGGAAGGACAGCAGCCGCCGGGGAGGAGGCCGCGGAGCCGCCCCCGCCGGCGGGGGAAGCCAGGCCCGCCCGGGCCCCGCCGCCGCCGCCCAGGGTCGCGCAGCCGCCGGAGCCCGCCTCGGGTAGAGCCGCCCCCGGCACCGCCCCAGCAGCAGCCGCAGCGGAGACGCCGCCGACATGGACGCCGCCATCTTGGACAGCGCCGCGCGCGGAGTGATGACGACAGCGCCGCGCGACGGCGGAGGTAGAGCAGAGAGAGAGAGAGAGACGGAGGGAGCGGAAGTGGCGGGATAGAGCGGCCCCTGCAGAACTTCCGGGGGTGGAGGGGAGGGAGGGAGGGAGGGAGGGAGGCCAGCGCCGCGGCCGCTGATTGGTCAGTTGCCTTTGCTTGGGCTTTGAATGGGGGAAAGGAAGGATTTGTGTATATTTGTGTGTTATATTACATTACATTATTGCCTGATTTGATATTACAGTTTATATATGTGTGCTATATATATTTATTATATTATAATATAATTATATTGTATTATATTATAGTTTTATTTTATTTTACAGTGTATATATATATACATGTGTATGTTGTGTTAATCATTTTATTTTACAGTGTATATATGTCTTTGTTTGATTTTACTGTACTTTATTTTACAGTGCATATCTGTTATATCATTTTATTTTACATACGCTTCAGTTTACAGACGCTTCAGTTTCCAGACTCCGCTAACCCAGAAATAGTACCTCGGGTTAAGAACTTGGCTTCAGGATGAGAACAGAAATCGCGTGGCGGCAGCAGGAGGTCGCATTAGTGGTGCTTCAGGTTAAGAACGGACCTCCGGAACAAATTAAGTTCTTAACCCGAGGTGCCACTGTACTTTATTTTGCAGTGTATATATATGTATTATATTATATCATATCATTTTACATAATTTTACAGTGTATATATGTGTGTTACATTATATCATTTTACTTTATTTCAGACATGTGGTTCATGTCCTTTATTATTATTATTATTATTATTATTTATATACCACCCTATACCCGAGGGTCTCAGGGTGGTTCACGGACTAAAATCAAGATATCAAACCACAAAATACATAATAAAAATAAAAATGACAACCCAATAGCTTCCCCCCACCCCTCCAAAAAGGGCAACTGATATGGTCTTCAAACCGGTTTGGGACGATATATCAATATATCTCTTGGCCCTAACGGGCGTCAGCCTAGATGGCTTTAAAAGTGGATCAGAGGCGAAAACCATCGATGGCGCCAGTGACTCTACTTTCAGAGGCAGCCGTGCTCCTGAATCCCAGTGTCTGGAATCCGCCGAAGGGGAGAGGGTCTTGAGTGCGAATTCTGATTACAGTAGCTCCCCCAACCACCCCAATCCCATTCCCACCCCACCCCCATCATGGACATTTCATAATTCTCCGCTTTAATAACCATCTTCAGTGCTTTTTTCACCCTAAAAAAGAACATTTAGTGGTCCTCTCATTTTGACTTGAGAAAATCACCATTTTATAGTTCAAATCGGCAGGGGAAATAAATCCAGCAAATGGACCAAAGTACAAATGATTCACAAAACGTTTAGGGGGGTGTGCCCCCCCCCAGGAAAAAAGCGCCGACCGTCATCATAAATAAACAGCGTTTATTTTCTACGCCGGTAAAGCATCACATCTATACAATCTTTTTTTTACAAAAAAAGTGTGTTTTGCTTCAAGTGTTGGAAAGAGGAGTGTTTGTTTTTTTGGAGTGGGGATGAACATGATTCGGGGAGGGGGTGGGAAACACAAAAAAGGAATATTGGCACCAGATTTAAATAACGTGGATCGAAAGAAAGAAGAGGCGCTGCGGCGGAGAGAGAGATGTGCGAGTTCGAATCCTTATCCTTTAGTGCAAAATTGTCACCGTTAGAGATCCGTCGCTGCCTGCTCTCATTTTTTGGCCTGCAATGATGTATCAGATTATGGGGAAAGGGGGAAGAATTTGGGGAAGGGGATAAGGATGATGGCTGCGCCTCTCCTTGGCATTTCACAGTCGGTCGATGGCTCCGATCCAGACAGGCCCGGCCCCCAGCCGCCTCCCCGGCCCCTCCTGGGCGCCATCACATCGCGGTCTCTCCGCTGAGATCCTTGTGGGTGTCGTTTTCCGGGTAGATCAAGTGGTAGGGCTTCTCGTTCTCCTCGGCCCCTGAGTCGCCCCCCAAGTCGGCGTCTTGCAGCTCCAGCTCGTGGCGCGACAAATGCTCCACCACGCCCGCGCCCAGAGAGTCGCCCAGGACGTTGATGGTGGTCCGCAGGCGGTCTCTGGGGGAAGAAATGGCAGTTCAGATGGGGTGGGAAAGGATCTAGGGGTCTGGGTGGACCGCAAGCTGGAAGGGACCTCAGTAGATGGGAGAAATGGACTCAAACAAAATGAATTTCCATGGGGACAAATGTCAGGTTCCGCACTTTGGCAGGAAGAACCAGATGCACAAATATAGGATAAGAGATACCTGGCTCACTAGCAGGACATGGGAAAAGGATCTGGGGGTCTTAGTGGACCACAAGCTGAACACGAGTCCACAGTGTGATGCAGCAGCAAAAAAGGCAAATGCTATTCTAGGCTGCATCCACAGACGTCTAGTGTCCAAATCAAGGGAAGTCCTAGTCCCACTCTGTTCTGCGGGTGGCGCTGTGGGTTCAACCACAGAGCCTAGGACTTGCCGATCAGAAGGTCGGCGGTTTGAATCCCCGCAATGATGGGGTGAGCTCCCGTTGCTCGGTCCCTGCTCCTGCCAACCTAGCAGTTCGAAAGCACGTCAAAGTTCAAGTAGATAAATAGGTACTGCTCCGGCAGGAAGGTAACCGGTGTTTCCGTGCGCTGCTCTGGTTCGCCAGAAGCGGCTTAGTCCTGCTGGCCACATGACCTGGAAGCTGTACGCCGGCTCCCTCGGCCAGTAAAGCGAGATGAGCTCCGCAACCCTAGAGTCGGCCACAACTGGACCTAAAGGTCAGGGGTCCCTTTACCTTTACCTTTTTATTCTGCCCTGGTCAGGCCACACCTAGAATCCTGTGTCCAGTTCTGGGCATCACAATTTAAGAAGGAAGTTGACAAGCTGGAAGGTGGGCAGAGGAGGGAGACCGAGAGGGTCAAGGGTCAGGAAACCGAGCCTTATGAGGAACGGTTGAAGGAGCTGGGTGTGTTTAGCCCGGAAAAGAGGAGATAGGAGAGCCATCCTCTACTATCTCACATGGAAGAAGGAACAAGCTTGTTTTCTGCTGCTCCAGAGGGTAGGACTCGCACCCGTGGCTTCAAGTTCCCGGGAAAGAGATTCCAGGAAAAAAGCTGTTTGGGATGGAAGGTGGTGGACTCCCCTTCCTTGGAGGTTTTTAAAGCAGAGATTGGAAGGTCCTGTGCCATGGATGCTTTAGCTGAGATTCCTGCATTGCAGGGGGGTCAGGTTGGATGACCCCTGGGGTCCCCTTCTACTGAGCAGACTCGATATAAGAGAGTTTCCTATGCTCCTATTTCAAGTGGACCCTGAGGACTAGAAACCTGGGGTCATTCCCTGAAAAACAAGCTGCCTCTCTGATTTTCTCCAAGGCCGTGGGCGCAGCTTCTGGGCCAAAGCGGTCGAGAAAGCCTCACGATTCATAACTGCAAAATCTCATTAAAAAATAAAACGAAAATTATATCATATTTGAAAGATAACTGTAAGCAATCAACATTGTTTGCACGGTTATCTGAAGATTTGCAAGATGAAATTGCTACCTATCTCGGTTGAGTAATACATTATTTTAGGTCGTGGTTTAACACGGATAGGAAACGAAGCGAAATGGAAAGATGGAAAGTTTGATTTTGTAAACCGATGGGCTCAGTTGAGCCAAGGAGATCAAATAAAGAGGATATGATGCGACGTAACGTGATGATGTGTAAAACCAGCAAAAATTATTTTAGAAAAATAAATGAGTAAATAAATAAGCATGATCCCTCCAGCCCAGGCTGGCAGCGCCACCCCTTCCCGCCTCGCGGGGACTTACAGGAACCAGTCGACTGCCATGATCAAGGTGATGTCTTCGGTCGGCAGCCCCACGGACGTCAGGACAATCACCATGGTCACCAGACCCGCCTGGGGGATGCCGGCCGCCCCGATGCTGGCGGCCGTGGCGGTGATGCTGCAGAGAGCAAGAGGGAGTTGGGTGAGCTGGGGTTTCAGGGTGGGGCTAGATGTCCCTTGAGGGTCCCTTGGCCAAGATGCCAAAGGGTCCCTTTGAGCACTGCACTCAAAATGCGCTCACAATTTGGAATGCATCAGGGAAAAGGGAGAAATAGGTGGGAAATTACCGTGTTTTTCTGTCTATAAGACGACCCCATGCATAAGACAGGGGGAAATCTATATAAGACCCCCCAAATTTTGGACATTATTATTTTTAGGGGGGGGAACTAGTCTTATATGCAGAAAAATACAGTAAATAAAATGGAAAATTTAATAAATATTTTTCAAAGAAAGAGAACGGAGCCCGTCTTTCGCACCCGCACCTGATCGTGAGGATCTGCCCAAAGTCCAGTTCGTAGTTGTTGACCTGTGCGATGAAGATGGCGGCCAGCGCCTCGTAGAGCGCCGTCCCGTCCATGTTGATGGTGGCCCCCACCGGCAGGACGAAGCGCGTCACCCTCTTGTCGACACCGTTGTTCTCCTCCAGGCACCGGAACGTGACGGGGAGCGTGGCCGAGCTGCGGGAGGGAGGACGGGGCGGCCCCGGGGTGAGCCAGCCTGAAACCCTACTCAGAGTAGACCACCCCCAGCTCCTTTCCCCCAGAGGAAGTGAAAATTGGGATACAAAGGTTGCTTTTTTTCTTTTTCGTCTTTTTTTGCAAAACCTCCCCCCAAAATTGAGCAATCTTAAAGGGTTTAAGGGAGCAAGCTTGTTTTCTGCTTAAAGATTTGCACACTTGCGCATGCAGAATGTCGGCACCCGATATGTAGAAAGGAGCAAAGCAGGGATATTTGAGGGAGCAGGCGGGGCCCAGGACTTACACCAGAGGAGCCGACGCAACACAAAACACGGTTGCTGGATGTAGGTTTTATTTCATTTGTTTATCTTATATTTTGGAAATGGACATCCAGGTTTTTTTCCTTTAATTTTTTGGGGAGAGAGAGGGGCACAAAGCTAGAGCTTGATGAGCTTATACGTAAATCTGGTACTGGCATAGATAGATAGATGATAGATAGATAGATAGATAGATAGATAGATAGATAGATAGATAGATAGATATAGATGATCAATCTAACGAAGGATAGATAGATAAATGAGAGAGAGATGACAGATAGATAGATGATAGATGATAGATAGATAGATAGATAGATAGATAGATAGATAGATGATATAGATAGATAGATAGATAGATGATAGATAGATGATAGATAGATGATAGATAGATAGATAGATAGATAGATAGATAGATAGATAGATAGATAGATAGACAGACAGACAGATAGATAGACAGGTAGATGAGGGAGAGAGATGATAGATGGATGGATGGATGGATGGATAGACAGACAGACAGATAAATAAATAGATAGAGATAGATGATCAATTGATCAAAAGATGATAGATAGATAGATAGATAGATGATAGATAGATGATCAATCTAATGAAAAATAGACAGATAGATAGACGAGAGAGATGATAGATAGATAGATGATAGATATAGATGATCAATTGATCGAAAGATAGACAGACAGACAGTCAGATAGATAGTTAGTTAGATAGATAGGTAGATGAGAGCGAGCGATGAAAGAAAGAAAGAAAGAAAGAAAGAAAGAAAGAAAGAAAGAAAGAAAGAAAGAAAGAAAGAAAGATTTTATTGTGGAAATGTACATCGAGATTTTTTCCCCCTTTAATTTTTTTTGGGGCCCTCAAGAGAGTGGGGCCCAAAGCAAGATCTTGCTTAGCTGATACGTAAATCCGGCGCTGGGCCTGATCCGTTCAGGGTGCCAGGAAGGGCGGCACACCCCCCCCAACCAGGAATCTGCCCCGGGGTCCCGCAAACGGCCCTCAGGGGCCCCCTGGCGTCGGCTGGGCGCCCGCTTACCTGGAGGAGGTCCCGAAGGCGGTGACGAGGGCCTGGAGGAGCCCCCCCACGAAGCGCCAGGGGTTCTTGCGGGTAACGGCGAAGTAGATGAGGGGCAGGACCAGGAGGCCGTGGACCAGCAGCCCCACAATGACCGTCAGGGTGTACATGCCCAGCTGGCCCCCCATCACCGCCAGGTCGTCCATCTCCAGGATCTTGCCTGCGATCAGGAAGAGGATCCCAATGGGGGCGTACCTGGGGGGGGGGGGAGAAGGGCGCCCCACGCGGGGGGATCAGGACCAGCCAGAGACTCCGCCAGCTGCTCATAATCACCATTTTAATTTTTGTGGCTTGTGGGTCTTTTGGAAGCAAAGCAAGGCTCTAGTCCTCATGAGGGAGAAGGACTTAGGAACCCGCCTTGCGGCTAGCCAGGCCACTGAGATCAGTGCTGTCTGCACTGACGGGCAGCTCCAGCAAGCCAGGTTGATTTTAATTCTTATTTTTTGAAACAGGTCTTTTTCCTGAGAATTTTATTTTGCTTCTTGTAAGCTGCTTTGAATTTTGTTTTGTATTTTGCAAACGGCTTTGAATTTAATTTTGTGTGGTTTTTTTGGAAAACTGCCTTGAGGTTGGCAGAGCATGAGGTTTTTAAAACAAGGGTGGTGGGTTCGAGTTTGTGGTTGGGCGAACGATTCCTGCAATGCAAGGAGGTGGGGCTGGACCCCTTTCCGACTTTGCCCAGCGTGGGGCTCAAACCCACAACGCCGAGAGGAAGGGAGTCTTGTGCTCTACCGACTGGCCTGGCCTGAATCGCAGAATCATAGAGTCGCAAGGGCCCCTCAGGGGTCATCCATCCCAACCCGCTGCAACGCCCGACACAGGACTCAAACCCACGACCCGGGGGTTCGACGCTCACCAGATGATGACGGCCACCAGGCGGAGGATGGCCTCGTTGAGGGAGTCGAAAAACTCCCGCAGGGGCAGCCCCTTCTGCTTCATGTTCCCGATGACCAGGCCAAAGCAGATGGAGAAGACCACCAGGCCCAGGGCGTTGACGCCGTTGACCGACCCGGCGCCCGGGACCACCTCCTCGTAGCTCAGCACCTCCGGGAGGGCGCCCAGCGCCTGGGAGACGTTGCGCCAGGCGCCGGTGGCGTTCTCAGGCGGCGGCAGCGGCGAGGGGGGCCAGGCCAGGGCGGCGGTGCTGCTGCTGCCGTTGTGGGGCAAGGCCTGGGGGGCGGAGGTGGGGGCTCCCCTGGCCAGGGTCCGGTTGATGACTCTGATGCTGTACTGGGTCTTGTACTGGGGAGAGGAAAAACAGAGTATTGATTTGATGCAAAACCAGGAAAGCCGCCCATCGAGCTCCATAGTGCCTGCACTGGCTGGCAGCAGCAGCTCGCCAGGGTTTCAGGCAGGGGGGCTGGTGCTGAGCCCAAGGGAGGAAGGATCCAGTCCTCACGAATTCGAATCAAGGGGTTGATTGAATACAAACTCCAAAAACTGCTGCCTGGCCAGTCGAGCGCAATAGTGCCAGCACTGGGTGGCAGCAGCAGCTCTCCAGTTTCGGGCCCCCAACGCAGATGGTCTAGCCCTGAGCCCCAGAGAGGAAGGATCCAGTCCTCAGGATTCAGAATCAAGGGACTCATTTAATACAGACTCAGGAATCTGTTCCCCGACCCATCCAGCTCAATATGGCCCACACGGGCCGGCAGCAGCGGCCCTCCACGGTTTCAGGCCGGTGGTCTAGCCCCGAGTCCAAGCGAGGAAGGATCCAGTCCTCATGAATCCAAATCAAGGGGTTGATTGAATACAAACTCAGGAGACTATTGCCTGGTCCACCCGTCTCACCTACACAGGCTGGCAGCAGCAGCCTTAAGACCGAGCCGGATCCGCTACACTGGATGGGGCGAGACGAGGAACCCGCCCCTCTTACCTGTCTGAAGCAGGCCTCCACCAGGTTCGGGGGGAACATGTTCCTGCGGACGGAAGGGGGAAAGAAAAGCAGATTATTTTGGTGGGCTGCCTGCCCGGGATGGTTCAGCCGGGAGTTGGGGGTTGGGCTGGATGACCCCCCGGGGTCCCGCTCACCGGACGAGGTCCAGGAAGGCGTCGGTGGTGTGGACCTGCTCGACGGTGCCCTGGCGGTGCAGGGCCTCCTTGCTGCCCTTTCCGGGGTGGATGATGAGGACCATGAAGATGCCGATGAAGACGGCTATCAGGGTGGTCAGCATGTAATAGACGACGGCGCGGCAGCCCATCTTCCCCGAGGCGCTGCTGTCCAGGGACGCCATGCCTGCCGGGCAGGACAAGGGAGAGAGGAGGTGGGGAAAACCAGGTATCGATTTGAACTCAAACTCAAAAAGAGATCCAAATTCAAAATAAATATTTAAATATAAGTAGTGAAATTCAAATTCAAAATAAATGTTTAAATGTAAGTAATGAATTTCAAATTCAAAATAAATATTTAAATATAAGTAGTGAAATTCAAATTTGAAATTCAAATGCGAAGTAAATGTTTAAATACAAGTAACGAATTCAAATTTGAAATTTAAAGTATTTAAATATAAGTAATAAAATTCAAATGCGAAGTAAATGTTTAAATATATGTAATGAAATTCAGATTTGAAATTTAAATGCAAAGTAAATGTTTAAATGTAAGTAATGAAATTCAAATTTGAAATTCAAATGCGAAGTAAAGGTTTCAATGTAAGTAACGAATTCAAATTTGAAATTCAAAGTATTTAAATATAAGCCATTAAATTCAAATTCCAATTCAACGTTTAAATACACGCAATTTAATTCAGATTCAAAGCAAATATTTAAACATACGTCAACAAATCCAAATCCGATTTTAATTGCTTATATTTAAATATTTCTGTTTATTTAAACGTTAAACATTTACATTTATATATTTATATGACACGCGCACACAATTTATCGACGCCCCCGTGTTTCCCCCGTGCAAAAGCGCCCAAAGATCCGCTTCTGGCCCGCCTGGCAGGGTCGGCACCCAGGTGCATCCGCTCACCTGTGATGAGGCTGGAGACGATGAGGGGCAGGACCAACATCTGCAGCATTCGCATCAGGAGCTCCCCGGGGAAGGAGAAGTACTTGACCTGCCGGAAGGTGAGCTTGTAGGGCCGCAGGGCCAGCGCCAGGGTGATCCCTGCGGGGCGAAGGAGGGGCTCAGAGATCCGCTCCCGGGTCGAGAGCGCCCGGAGGCATGGGCAGAGTGCCGCCGGGAACGGAGAAGCTCGGAGCCAGAGGCGGACTACAACTCCCATGGTGCACCGACCGCACTCGCAGGGGATGATGGGAATCGGAGTCCCGGACTTTAAAAAGTCACTTAAATCCCAATTTGGACATGGACCCACAGAGCTCTGAAACCCATACTATTTATCAAATTTTTAGTTGTGTTTCAAGAATATCGGCTGGTTATTTTGTCCGCCTTTGACCTGCTTAATAATAATAATAATAATAATAATAATAGTATTCTATTGGCGGCTCCCAAAATTAAAAACATGATAAAACATCAAACATTAACAATGTCCCTTTGTGGAAGTGCAGCTTGCGTTTACTTAAAAGGGGAGGTGGGGGGATTTTTAAAGAAGAGCTTAAATATTTTCCTTTTTAAAAATAAAATAAAATAGCAGTTCTTTCCCTCCAAGCCAATTAATTCCCAAACGAGGATGCAACAAATTCGGGGAAGGAATAAAAAGAAAAAATATGAAATTGAGATGAACTGCAAAGAGACCAGATTAGGAAATGAAACCCCCCATTGCAAAACTTTAAATTATTTTTGTAAAGTTTAAAAAACAAACTTCTTTAAAGTTTAAAAAATATATCATTCTTTTTTGAGATCTTGCAAGCGGAGAGAGCAAATCAGATCTCCTCTCTGCAGCTGCTAGAGTTTTATTTCCCTCCCAATCCTCTGTAATCCTTGCAAATTTTTCTGGCTCTTTTTCTCTCTCTCTCCTTAATTTTTATTTTGTTTAGGGACCGGGAGCCGTTTGGCGTCACCCTGCAAGCAGCTTGTGACCGGCTTAATCTGACCCACACACGCAAAGCGGGGCGGCAGCCTCCCCCGTCCGGCGCGGGTCGATCCCCAGATCTCCCAGAAGGGATCCCTGAGGCTGGTCTAGTCCAGCCCCCTTTTGCCCAGCGCAGAATTCAAACTCGTGACCCGGCGGTTGAGTCTCGCACCGACTGACGTATTCCGGATTTAAAGAAAGCAGCACATGATCTGCTTTCTAGGGGGCAGATGTGGAACCTCAAGCCTTACCCAGCCGGATGGGCAGGGTATTATTATTATTATTATTATTATTATTATTATTATTATTATTATTATTATTATTCTGCTGCCCTGGCTGCAGTTCTTTGACTGGGTTCCTGGGTTAAGCAACCCCAGGCTTGAATTTGGATGGGCTCCCCAAAGGTCATCCATCCCAGCCCCAGAGGGAGTCCATTTTGGGAGGTCACCTTGTGGCTTGGAGGGGGTCAGATGTTAAGGAAGAGGCTTAACCCACCCACCCCACACACAGCCTGGCTCTTCCTAGCGGCGATGCCCTTTCAGAGAAGCGGTGGGAATCGCTCAGTGGCCCATGATTCGAATCCTGCTCACGATTTCCTCCGGCGATTGCCCTTTTCTCCGAAAAGAGCCCGCCGCTCTCCGGCAAAGATCCTGGGCTGTGCCTCAGTTCCCCCCATTGCAATTTGGTCGGGAGAAGCCGCGCCCACCGCAAATTTCCCCGGTCCTCTTTTAAATCCTGTAGCGGGGAGTTCCGCCGGTCCGCTCTGTGCGAAATCAGGGCTTTCTCGGGAGGGCAAGGGGATTCGGCCCCGCCGGGCCCCTGGCACCCAAAAGACGCCCCTCTGGGCCTCTGCAGGGACCCCCAAGCCCCCCCCGTTGCGCCCCCTTACCCAGCAGGACGGCGATGACGGTGAGCAGGACGAAGGCGTTCCTCTGCAGGCAGCTGCGGACGCTCTCCCGCGTGACGGCGTACATCCTGGCCTGCGCCCGGGCCGCCCTCTTGCGCAGGACATGGCGGAGGCGCTGCGCCCGCCCGCCCCCCGGACCCAGCGCCTTGGACTCCTCCTCGTTCAGGAACAGGCTGTTGGCGCGGGCCTGGCGCTCACCCATCGCGGGGGCCGCTCAGCACCCCGGGGACCTGGGTTCGGGGAGAAGAAGGCGAGAGCCAGAGGGATGAGCGCAGACAAAGCCGGCCGGACCAGGGAAAAACCACATGGGGGGGGGCTGGCCTGCCTCCTTCCTTCCTTCCTTCCTTCCTTCCTTCCTTCCTTCCTTCCTTCGCCACCTAAATTCTTTCTTTCTTTTTTCCTTCCTTCCTTCCTTCCTTCCTTGCTTTGCCACCTAATTTCTTCCTTCCTTCCTTCCTTCCCTCGTCACCTAATTTCCCTTCCTTCCTTCTTTCGCCACCTAATTTCTTTCTTTCTTTCTTTCTTTCTTTTTTCCTTCCTTCCTTCCTTCCTTCCTTCCTTCCTTCCTTCCTTCCTTCCTTCCTTTGCCACCTAATCTTTCCTTCCTTCCTTCCTTACTTCCTTTGCCACCTAATCTTTCCTTCCTTCCTTCCTTCCTTCCTTCCTTCCTTCCTTCCTTCACCACCTAATTCCTTCCTTCCTTCCTTCCTTCCTTCACTACCTAATTCCTTCCTTCCTTCCTTCCTTCACCACCTAATTCCTTCCTTCCTTCCTTCCTCCCTTCCTTCCTTCACCACCTAATTTCTTCCTTCCTTCCTTCCTTTTTGTAATTCCTTGGGGCTTTACTGACAGACCCTTCAGAACCGTCATCTCAACCGTCATAAAAGCCCCAAAGGATTAACATGAAATATAAGGGTTTTATTTCATTTTTTTAAAAAGCATAGATGAGAAATTTCTGCCTTCTCCTGGGTTTCTAAAGCAAACCAGCCCTGCTGTGTGGGACAAGGCAGCAACCAGGCTTCAGCTGGCATAAAATATAATAATCAATGTTTCAGCATCCAAAATCAATCCTTTTCAGCAGACAGTCTTTCTGCAGCAAAGTTTTCCTTGCGCTGAGTGGCCAAAGCCACCTGATTCCAAACATTCCAATGCTAGGATAAGTCGTCGAACCATGGGGTCCCCAGGGGTCATCCAGCCCAACCCCTTGATTCCCAGAATGAATGACAGTGAAGGGGCCCGACGGTCATCTAGCCCAACCCTCTGCAATGCAGGAATCTGGGCTGCACCTCTGCCCCAATCGGGTCGCCCCGATTAAAACCACCGTCTAGAACCAGCTCCCACCCCCCAGAAAACCCCTTGGCGCGACCTCTGAGCGAAAAGCAACGGGCCCATTTCCCGGAGGGGGAGACTGAGGCTCTGCCGGCTGGGCGAGTGCCCTGAGGGCAGCCGAGGACACAGCTGGCATGCCAAGACCTGGCTTGGCACGGGGAGCCGGGATTTTAAAAACCAGCCGCCTGCAAAGCAGACCGGCCTCTCTGGACCCCTTGAGCGGACCCCCCTCTGGGTGCTGTGTGGGGCTCCTGGGGACGGGCGAGGGGCGGCCCAGATCCGTGGCTTACCTGGAGGAGCCTCTGCCAGGCTCAGGTCCTCCGTGCCAGGGAAACCTCTCGCCTCCGCCGCTGCTGAGCTCTGGCAAGGAAAGAGAAGTCCGTGTGAGGCTTGGAGGGAGGAGGCGGCGCCAGCCCTGCACATGGGGCTTTGGGCCCCTGTGGGACGCCGGGAGAGGAGCTTAAGCCTCTTGCGCCAGCCTGGAGAGGGAGGCGCGACGCGGGAGTCGGGCTGGATCAAGCCCAGGGCTCAGGGCAGCCCCGGTTGCCGTGGATCCGTTGCTCTAGGTTCCTGCACAGGGGGAACCCAAAGGTCATCCAGCCCAACCCCGAGGGAACCCCAGCTATGCGCGGGAGGGCATGCGGTCCCTGGCTTAGAAGGAAAGGCCCGATTCTGGGAGGAAATATTGTCTTTCTTTTTAGAAAGGTCCATCCTGGGCTTCTGTTGCCCACAGCATCCAGAGAACGGATGTTGTTTGGCAATGGCAGGTAGACTGTGCCTGGGAGGGGAGGCTCCCTTGAGGGACCAGGAGCAGGAGAACCGCCTCGCAGGGTTGCAAGCGAGATGTGGGGCGCCCCCTTGGAGGATCAAAAGCAGGATAGGACCGGAGGAATCCCAGCGTTGGAATTCTGTGCCGTGCAATGAATGAAAAATTGCAAGGAAGAGGAAATTGCAACGTGCCATGCGGCGAAGAACAAATTGGAACGCCAGCAGTGCATTGCAATGAAATAAATAAATGAAATGAAATGAAAATAAATAAATGAAATAAAACCAAAACGGAGATTTGGGGCAGAAAAGAAGGGAGGTGTGTGTGGGGGGGCCTTCTTCCCTAGCAGCCGTTTTCTTCTTCCAGAGGCAGGGAATGCTTCCGGATTCGCGTTCCTGGAAACGGGCTCTGGGGCTCAAATCCTGGCAAATTGTGGGCGCCTCCTGTCTCCCTTCCAGGTGGCAAAGCGATTTGCAACGCTCAGGGAATCAGCGGCCGCATGTGGGCATGCAAAGTCCTCCGGAGGAACCCCCCCCATATTTCTGTGCCCCCCATTTTCCCTGCACGGCTTACTCACATATCCTTTCCGCACCAGAGGGACAAGCTCTTGCTCTCTCCTTGCCAAAACTCCCTGGATGCGAAGAGGAGGAGAAGGGCCACCTCTGAACAAAGCAGGCGAGATCGAAAGGGGGGGGGTGAGAGCAGCTGTGTGCCCACGCCTGGGGAGGGAGGGGGGGGAGATGCGGAGAGGGGCCCAATCCGGAGGAGAGAGTCTGTTGCCAAGGCCATCTCCCCGGAAGATGCAGCAGCGCCGAAGGAAGGAGATGAAGGCAGGGCCCCCTAGACCCACACGTGGGGGGCTGAATCGGCCTGGGGGCGGGTCGCTTCCAAGCAGCCCCCTCCCCAATTCAAAGCAAGGATCTGGCTTCGGAAACCAGGCTTGCGGTGCTTTGCAAATTTCAAAAAGCTGGATGCACGGATCGCTTCAAAATAAAAGATGGCAACTTGCAAGAAAAGGAATTTCAGGGGGAAATAACCTAATCAGAATTCGTCCTTCCGCAGAGCTGAATCTGGTGGGTGGGCTATAGTGGAAATTTGTATTTTATATTATGTTTCTACTGTTCTGCATTGAATCGGAGGCCGTTATAGATATAATCGAAAGAGAGACCTGGGTTCGAATTACCACTTTTTAAGTCGCAAGCGTCCTACTCCACCGGGCTGTTGTGGGGATTAAATGAGGGAGAACCACAGGCAGATGGGCGGAGTAGAAATAATAAATTTATTATTATTATTATTATTATTATTATTATTATTATTATTATTATTATTACTCATGCCGCTTCGAGCTCCTTGGAGAACGAAGGCCGGCGTGTCAATGCAAGGAATGAATAAAACCGACCCATCCTCCTGCCTCGGTTTTTTGGGGCATCTTTGCTCCGTTCCCAACAACCTTGCGAGGCAGAACGGGGCCTGTTCCCATTTTACAGGACTGTAAAAAGTCCAGCGAGGCTCCGAATGATCAGCCTGACAGCCGGGAACCGAAGGAGCAGAGATGCCCCCGAGAGGCCTGGGCACGGGGCCCAAAGGGCGCCTCTGAGCACGTGGGGAGCGCCTGCAGGAAAAACGGACCTGGAACTTGGGAGCAGGATTTCCTCGCTCCTGCCAAAGCCGTTGCGCCAGGAGGATTTGAAACCTTACACCCGCTGCTGCTGCCGAGAAAAAATAAAAAGCGTTTCCAGATTAAATCAAGCGAAGGCAGGCAGGAATGTACTCCCTCCTGCGTCAGGGAAGGCGCCTCCATCTTTCCCTGCGCAGAAACCCTGCAAAAATCAGAATTTGGGAGCAAAAAGGGCCCCCAAAACAGAGGATCGGGACCGTTTGTTTTCCGTTCAAAGTCAAGAGCAAATGCCATTCTATTATTATGCGCGGAGGCAGGGAAGGCGCTCTGAGTGCAGAAGGTCGTGCGGGTCTGTTGCAGCTGCAAAAGGCTGCAGGCGCAGAGGGCTTATCCACTGGTGTTGTCGGCACTGACCGGCAGGGTGACAAGGGACGGGCGCAGCAACGCCAAACCGCTGGACCTTCTGCATGCAGAACACCTGCTCTGGCGCTGGGCGAAGGTGGTGCTCTTAAAAGCCGAGTTTCTGGTCCTCAGCGCTGTGAACAAGGGCAGGGAGATCTGCTTTGCGTCACCCGAACTGGCTGGCAGCAGCAGCTGTCCTACCTTGAAGGGGGAGGGCCTTCTGCACTCAGGTGCTTGACCGCTGAGCTCTGGTCTTTTCCAAGATGCCAGTCCTCATGAGTCTGAATACAAGCTGAAGGAATGGAAGAAGCTGCCTTGGACCATTGCTCTGCCTAGCTGAATACAGCCTGCACTGACTGGCAGCAGCTTTCGCGGTTTGGACCTGGGAAACCTTCCGCATGCCAAGCACCTGCCCGTCCCTGGTCCTCAATTTTATCAACAGGAGGCTGGTCTAAACGGAGCTGAAATCGGCCCACCTCGCTCCATAAAGCCTGCACTGACTGGCAGCAGCTCTCCCGCTAGGAGGTCCCACCTAGCTCACCACTGCCAGCACGGGCTGGCAGCAGCAGCTGTCCCCAGTTTTGAGCAGGGAGTCTTTTCCCAACCCTGCCTGGGGGCGGACCCCCGGACCTTCTGCATGCAGAGCACCCCCCCTTCTGCTCTGCACAGGACAGCAGCTGCCAGTTGAGACTGGGCCCAGAAGGCTTTCTTCCCCTCCTCAACCAGTGAATCCTTCCTAATGTCTTGGCTAGGGCAGCTCAGTCGGCAGAGCCTGAAACTCGTGATCCCAGGGTTGTGAGTTCGAGACCAAGATCGCCAGGGGTTGGACTGGATGACCCCCGGGGGTCCCTCCCCTTCTATGCTTCTACATCTGGAGCACCGGGCAGATGTTCCTCACTCCTTCTTCCCTGGAGAGGAAGAGACTTCCCCGATTTCGCTTTCATCATTTCACCCCATGAGGGCCGGCTCCCCCTTTTAACGCTGGGGATGGGGGGACCCCGGGGACCCCATGAGGTCGCCAGACCCCACAGACGTCCCACCCGCCTGACTCCCCACAACGCCACCATTCAAGCATGATTTTTAAGGGGCGCCAGGGGCACCCATCAATCTCTCCTGCTCCCCTTTCCCCTGGCAGCAAACCTGCGAGGAAGGCTTCATTTATATTTATATTTCTATTTCTATTTATAATATTTATATTTAATATTAAGGCTTATAGAGAAAAATGCAAAACGAAAATACAAAATACAAATACAAAACGAAAATACAAAATATCTTCTTTCCTTTTTCTAAGCAAACCAAGACTTTCACACGGATGCCATGCAAACACAAAAACGGGGCGAGAGAAAGAGAGGAGGACACGGAAATTGGGGCGGGGCGGGGAAAGCCTTGGCACTCCACCCCTTAGACAACGCTCTTGTCGGAGGGGGCAACTGCGCCCCCTTTCCTCTCCAGCCACCCCCTGCTCCGTCCCACCTGGTGGGGGTTCCCCCTTCCTCCCCAGCCCAGATCCCCCACCTAGACCCGCGTCACGTCTGAACGAGGCAGGGCGGCGTGCAGGCGGGTAAGGCAACGTGGCGAAGCTGCTGCTGCTGCCCTACCTGGCCGGGCTGCTGCTCCTTCCCCGTCCGCACGTGCGCTGCCCGCCCGCCGCGGCTCCCTCTTCCTGGGCTGCTGCTGCCTGCCTGGGGCGCGGAGGCGGAGAGCGCGCCTCCCCGGAGCCCATTGGCCGCGCCGGGCGGGCGGGTCCGCGCCCAGGGCCGCCTCCCAGCTCCCCGGGGCGGGCAGGGCAGACGCGGAGACGGGGCGCGGAGGGGGACAAAGGCGCCCCGGGGCATACGCAGAGAGGGCGCTGCCGGAGCATGCCAGCTGCCTCTCCTCTTGCAGGACAAGGGTGCCTCTGGGCATATGCAGAGTGCACCCAGCCCGAGCCTGCTAGCCTCCTTTGGCCCCGCTCGAACCTGCCAGCCGCCCCTCCCCTGGCAGCAAAGGAAGAAGAAGGGAGCCCCAGGGCATATGCAGAGTGCGCCCGGCCCAAGCCTGCTAGCCTCCTTTCCCCTTGCAGCAACGGAAGGACAATGGCACCTCTGGGCATACGCAGAGTGTGCAGCTTTCCCCCTTGAAAGAAAGGAAAGGGTGTCTCTGGCCATATGGAGGGTGCCTGGCCCAAGCCTCCCAAATGAAGGACAATGGTGCCTTTGGGCATATGCAGAGTGCACCCGGCCCAAGCCTGCTAGCCACCTCTCCCCTTGCAGGAAGAACAAGGGCACCTCTGGGCATACGCAAAGCGTGCAGCTTCCCCCTTGAAAGACAGGAAAGAAAGGGTGACTCTGGGCATATACAGAGTGCACCCGGCCCGAGCCTGCTAGCCTCCTTTCCCCTTGCAGCAACGGAAGGACAATGGCACCTCTGGGCATACGCAGAGCGTGCAGCTTTCCCCCTTGAAAGAAAGGAAAGGGTGTCTCTGGGCATATGCAGGGTGCCTGGCCCAAGCCTGCCAAAGGCGCCTCTGGGTATGCACAGAGCGGCCGCTGCCTGAGCATGCCAACTTCCTCTCCTCTTGCAGGAAAAGGGCGCCTCTGGGCATACGCAGAGCGTGCAGCTCCCCCCCTTGAAAGGAAGAACAAGGGCTCCTCTGGACATACACAGAGTGCTCCCAGCCCAAGCCTGCCAAAGGAAGGACAAGGGCGCCCCAGGGCATATGCAGAGTGTGCAGCTCTGCTCCTTGAAAAGAACCTCTGGGCATATGCAGAGTGTGCCTATCCCTCCCCTTGCAGCAAGGGAAGGACAAGGGTGCCTCTGGGCATGCGCAGTGTGGGCACTGTCTGAGCATGCCAGCTTCCTCTACTCTGGCCAGAAAAGGGCGCCTCTGGGCATACGCAGAGTAGGCACCACCTAAGTCTGCCAGCCGCCTCTCCCTGATGATGCAGCTACTTGGGAGGCAGGATCCGCACCCGGGTCTTTGGCCAACGCCATGTTGCAATGGCCTCCTCCTCCTGGCATTTCCCCTGCGGAAGCAGCTCTAACCTCCAAGCAGGCGTTCAGGGAAGGGTTGCGCAGCCCGCCCCGCCTCTCGCACCCGCTGCCTGGCAGGCGAAAGCTCTTCCTGCCAGCTTGGGTAAACTGGGGAACTCCCTGCCACAAGACCCGCCTGGGCCAAGCACAGATCCCGGCATCCAATCATCTTGGATTCGTGTCGGTTTTCCTCCTGAGCCTTCCAGCTCCAAACACAGTAGATAATAATAATAATAATAATAATAATAATAATAATAATAATAATAATAATATAAATTGGCCCCAATACATGAGGAGTCGGGGGCCCTATCAAATCGCCCCTTTTCAAAGCAGATTAAGGGCATTACACCCATTTATTAATTATATCTATTAATTACAATAATCGATTAGAAGCATAGAACTGCTGAGTTGGAAGGGACCCTGAGGGTCATCCATCCCAACCCCAATCTTTTGGCCCAGATACAAGATTCGAACTCGTGACCCCAAGATTGAGCCTCTTGCATAGGAGTCGATTGAAAGATCTGCTTTCCAAGGGGCAGGTTTGGACACTCAAGCCTTCTGCGGCCCCCAAAAGCTTCCGATCTGGCCCTCGGGGCTCTCTCATCGGCCTGGCTCCACCCCTTAGACCTTCCTTCCCTGCCCTCGAACTCGGCTCAACCCTGAAGGGAACCTCCATGGACAGAGACAGTCTACCTTTGTCCGCCAAGCGAGAAGGGCAGCAGGAGGCTCTTGGAGTCGCGTCCCGTTTTGGGGGGCAGGATCCTGCGCTGGAGGGGGGACCCCCTGGGGGCCCGATCCTGCCGGATTCCTGATCCAGGCCGGCAGCTCAAAGTCGCCGTGACTTCTGGGCCGCGTCTCCCCGGAGATGCCAGCCCGGGAACGTCACACGCCCTGAATAAAGCGGGGCGGCCCAAAAATAGATAGGGACGCCTGATTTGCTGGGCAGAAAAGGGGGCACCTCCTCTGGCGCCCCGGCCCGCCTGGATTCACGTGCCCTGGCCGTGGGGCAGCCCCGTTCCTGGTGCCAAAGAGAGGGGGGGGGCAGAAGTGTGTCACTGAATCCGCACCCGGTGCCCCCGGAGGGGCTATTAAAAGATTTAACTGGCGCACGGCAAGGCGGGCATCTAGGGCAGAGGCGGGCGGGGGCCGCATTCCCCTCCAGCCCCGATTGTCTGGGGTGGGGGAGCCCTTTTTAGCCTGGGGGGCGCATGCCAGGGGTAGGCAGAGGCGAATGTGGATGTGATTTTCCCCTCTTTTGGGTCCCATGGGTAGTGGGGTGCAGTGAGCGGAGCATGGGGGGCGAAGGCCTGGGAGGGGGGCAATCCTGTTGCAAAGGGGGCTGGGGGGCCTGGGGGTCCGCCGCCAATCTCTACCCCACAAGTACCCTATTTCCCTATATTTTGGGAGCCCAAAATTAAGAAATACACATAAATTATATTTATATCGCAAGTATTTTCCTGCGTATGACGGCCCCTATTTTTTGAGCCCCAAATTAAGAAAGAAACATTATATAGAAAATCATTACATATGAAATAATGATATATAAAAGAAAATAAAAATTACATTTATAAAAATAATCGCTACAGTCGGTGAACAAGACCCCCCAGTTTTAAACTTAAAAAAAGGGGGGAAATATGTCTTCTACACAGAAAAATACAGGATGTAGGTAGATTTGCACCAGCTTCTCCATCCTCCAGCCAGGGGGGGAAGAGGCACAGTTGGGGTTCAAGGACGGTGTGGGGCACGACGTGGGGAGACAGAGAAGCTTTGGGGGGTGTTTGCGCCCCATCCGGGGTCTGCGCTCCGCAAATAGTGGAATAGACCCTCCTGGTCCAGGCGCAGTCTACCCCTCTTGAAGAAACCCACCAAGGGGGTGGGAGGGAAGCTGCGGCCTTTATTCCAGGCGAGGGGAAGGGGGTTGGAGCCCCCAGGAGGTTGAACCCCTTTCCAGGTAGGGCTGAGAATGCGGCCCCCCAAGTCTGAAACCCTGGAGAGCAGCTGCTGCCGGTCAGTGTGGGGCTGCAGTCCTGAGCTCGGCGCTCCCGCGAGTCTGGCAGCTCCCTATTCAAATTGCCCTCCATAAATGGGATAGTTTTTCAAATGCTTGGAACCCGCTGATCTAAAAGAAGCCAGACCCTCGGTCCATATTGCCCACACGGGCTGGCAGCATCTCCTCAGGGTTCGAGGTCTTTTCCCTGAGCTCTGCGCAGGTCAAACTTCTTCTATGGCAGAGCTGTGGGTCTTCCTTGAAGAGCGAAACAGAAGCAGTTTGACCCGGGCAGAACTCGGGGAAAAGACCTCGAACCCCGAGATGCTGCCGACCTGTGTGGGCAATATTAAGGTACAAGGACCTGGATTTTGAATAAATGTGCTGCTCCTGTTTTGAATTTTACCCAGCTATTTCCCCTCTCTTTTATAATGTTTTATTCAATTTCCACCAAAAATTCCATAGTAATTTATACTTTCGTTTTATCAACTTCCCATCCCGTTTTCTGTGGTTGTTGCTGTTTGTAAATATACTACCTGATTGCAGCAGCCTCTCTCCCGTGTCATTTCCCCACATATAGGGGGCCACACAATCTGAACGATGCTCTTGACAGGGGGGGAAGTAATAATAATAATAATAATAATAATAATAATAATAAAATAAAATAAATACCCCACCCATATGGGACCGTGAAGCTGCAGGCCTGCGGACATTTGGAACATCCTCTTTTCATGACGTGTTTTAATAGATTTTCAAGGATAAAATAACCAATAGATTTAAATCGGATCCGCGGTGGAAATATCTACAATATAAGGAACCGCAGGAAGGGGGAGAGGGGGGGGGGACATGAAGTTTCGGTAGTGCTGTTTTTCGGGGGGGGGGGAACACATACCCCTAAACATTTTGTGAATCATTTTGTACTTTTGTCCATTTACTGTATTTATTTTTCCCATTTACTGGTGATTCTCTCGGGTGAAAATGAGAGCACCTCTAAACATTTTTTTAAGGGAAAAAAAGCAAGGAGTTTCGGTATCCCAAATTGGCCGCGCAAATTTATATTGTTATGATTTTGTAAAATGACTACTTGGACTAATTAAGGAATGCAGTACAGTATGAGATCATCACGCCCCAAACTTCTGAGCATGGGAAGGCACCCAAAGATATAGAATTTGGCTTTTTAAATTGTGTCATAATTTGGAATGTTTTAATGTGGTTTTTGTTGGATTGCTAAAATGGGAAACTTAATATTATTAAAAATAAATAATTCTGTAAAATGAGAAAATGGGGGGGGGGGACAACCCAATGTGTTTAAAGACACATTTTAAGAGTTTTAGGGTCTGTATAGGAAGCCACAAAGAGGAATTGTGCAGGGACCACAAAGGGTCAACGCTTTTATTTGCAGGGCCCGATTCCCACGGGACGGCCGGCTCAGGGCGCCGGGATTTCGGGGGTTTCCCGCTAAGTCCTTGTCTGCCCCGCGGTCCAGGCCCCGGGACGTGGTGGGTGGCGATCGTGCGCCGCGCTGGGAGGACGGAGAGGGCGGCTCCGGGTTCAGAGTTCGGGAGGCCCCAGCCAGCGCCAGCCTTCCTTCTTGCCGATTTTGGCCAGGAAGGCGGCCGAGCCCAGGCCCACGCAGGCCGCAGTGCCGGTGGCGAAGCTGTGGGCTGAAGAGGAGAGAGAGAGGAGAGGTGAGAGGCGGCCCGTCAGAGGACTCTCAATTCGGGGGGAAAGGGAGAAATGTTCAATGCAATTAAGCTCAGCCCGCCAGCTGTCTTGGGACTACAACTCTCATCATGCCTAGCTAACAGGACCAGCGGCCAGGGATGATGGGAATTGTGTTTTGGGACTACAACTCCCATCATCCCTAGCTAAGAGGACCAAGGGTCAGGGATGATGGGAATTGTAGTCCCAAAACAGCTGGAGGGCCGTACTTGCCTATTCCAGGCACCCCCAAATTCAGCCTGTTTTGGGACTACAACTCCCATCATCCCTAGCTAACGGGACCAGGGATGATGGGAACTGTATTTTGGGACTACAACTCCCATCACCCCTAACTAAGAGGACCAGGGGTCAGGGATGATGAGAATTGTAGTCCCAAAACAGCTGGAGGGCCGAGTCTGCCTATTCCAGGCACCGCCAAATTCAGCCCTCCAGATGGGTTGGGACTACAACTCCCATCATCCCTAGCTAACAGGACCAGAGGTCAGGGATGATGGGAATTGTAGTCCCAAAACATCTGGAGGGCCGAGTTTGGCCATGCCTGCAAGGTTAAGCTTTGTATACAGATATTTACATTAGTAGAACTCTTAAAAGTCACTTGTAACAAGACAAAGAAGGTTCAAAATTGGATCATTAAGAATATAGGGTTTAAACATGCACTGAAGAGGGAGAGCGGAGGGAAGTCAAGCAAAGTGATGGCTTAAAAATTTGTTTATGAGGTTTACTTTTTTTCCATGTAGTGTTGTTATTTTGTTGCTATGTTATTTTTGGAAATGAATAAAATGTTATCTCCAAAAAGAGAGAGAAGGCCCGTCGTCCCGCAGAGCGTAGTCAGATTGTGGAACTCTCTGCCACTGGGAGGGCCAAAAAACTGGGATGCCTTGGAAAGAGGATTAGAGAAGGAAGGGGCATGGAAAAGGAATTGCAGGCTGGCGCCTTGGCAAGGCACCTTCAGCTAACCAGGCCTTGGGTTGACAGACATCCGATGGCCTTTTAAAATGTGCTGGGGGATTATTGGGTCGCCTTTGCTTTTATTTTTATCATTTATTTTGCGTTCTTATACAGTCAAACCTTGGCTGTTGAACACAATCCGTTTTGACTTCCGAAACGTTCGGCAACCGAGGCGCGGCTTCCGATTGGTTGCCAGAGCTTCTTGCATTGGGTGTTCGGGTTCCGAAAAAGGGAGCATTTACTTCTGGGTTTTCAAAATTCGGGAGCCAAAACGTTAGAGAACTAAGCTGTTTGAAAACCAAGGTTTCGCTGCATTGCTATTTTCATAGGGCAGCATGCAAATCTAAATAAATAATAATAATAATAATAATAATCTAGCAGTTCCCCAAATATACAGAGCCCTTCTGCAACAGGATACGGGGTCAAAGTGTATTTGGGGAAACAGACTTGGAAATGGAGCAGGAATCCTGGGAGGCGCTTCCAAATTTTTCGGAACAAGCATTTAATCAGAGAAGTGCAATTACACTCTCCGGAATCTGTGTTTCAGTGGGAATCGGGGCTTGGAGGAGAAACCGTTCAGGGGATTTCTCTTGGCGGCAATTAATGGGGTTTCTGGTGCACTGCCGCCCTGTGGAACGCCCTCCCGCCAGATGTCAAAGAAATAAACAACCATCTGACTTTTAGAAGACATCTGAAGGCAGCCCTGCTTAGGAAAGCTTTGAATATCTGCTGAATTATTGTATTTTTATATTTTGCTGGAAGCCGCCCAGAGTGGTTGGGGAAACCCAGCCAGATGGGTGGGATATAAAAATATTATTATTATTATTATTATTATTATTATTATTATTATTATTACTACTACAACCAGCAAGAGGAGCGCACAGCACAGATAGAAACCTGCAGGAGAACGGAACGGTTTCCTTTCGTTCCCAAATTCCCCAGGTGACCAAAGACCAGTTATTATTATTATTTGGTGGATCCCTTCCGAAGAATCTGCCATTGCATGGACAGGAACGTCGGCGTGTTTTTTGGGGGGGGGTCTCTGGGGAAATTGCAAGAATGAAAAGGGAAGCATGGCATTATCCCAAATTGGCCAAATTTGCATCGGGACGGCAGGTGACCAACCTCTGGCTCCCCAGATGGCGCCCGAGGCGCAGCCTCCGATGAAATAGTTTTTGGGGTCCTCTGGGTTGTCCCGGAGCTGGGCGCTGAGGCAAGTGGTGACCCCGAATACGGCCCCCAAGGTGGCTGCAGAGAGGGAAAAAAAACAGGCGGAGGGGAGGGAAGAGAAGAAATCGGGAGAATACAGCAGCACTTCATCTGGTTAGAGCCTCTTGGGAGAGCCGCTGCTGCCAGCCCATGTAGGCAATACTGAACTAAGCAGACTTTATATAAGGCAGCCCTAATATTCCTACAGCAGTGCTGCCCCCCCCCAGCAAAGTTCAGATTTCGCTCCCGGAGTTTGAGAGCTGCTCCGTTCGACCTTGCCCTGGTTTGATCACGAAGGAAGTTTGAATTAATTACAGAACAGCCAGCTAGAAGTAGAACTTAATTTGCGGCGGTGGGGGACAAATAATAAAATGATTATCACCAGTCCTATTTTTCTAAAAAATAAAATTGTCCTATTCATATTGAAACACTGCCCTTCAAGGAGGCCAAAGTTAGATTCACAAAATGTTTGGGGTCTGTGCACCCCTGCACTGCCCTCCAGAAAAAAGCACTGATTATTATTATTATTATTATTATTTAGATTTTATGCTAACTACACCCCTAGAGGCTCCCTTATCTACATGACTAAACACAGCTTCTCATTCTCCTCTCCCAAATATCAAGCGGGCTGGACTGCTGCCGACCAGAGTCCGCGCAGGACTTACCCATGGTGACGGTTCCGGTGGTCGCCCTCTGAAAAGCCCCCAGGGCCGTCTCGGACGGGAACAGGGTGAGGCGGTAAGCAGAGCCCACCAGACCTGCCGGAAAACAGGAAAATTGTGCATTTTTACATTCTTTATTCTTCTTCTAAAACATGGATAGGCAACCTAAGGCCTGGGGCCGGATGCGGCCAATTGCCTTCTCAATCTGGCCCTCGGATGGTCCAGGAATCAGCCTGTTTTTACATGAGTGGAATGTGTCCTTTTCTTTCAAACGCATCTCTGGGTTATTTGTGGGGCATAGGAATTCATTTATTTCCCCCAAAATATATTCCGGCCCCCCACAAGGTCTGAGGGACGGCGGACCGGCCCCCCGGCTGAAAAAGTTTGCTGGTCTAAAACCACAAGCCAGAAATACAATATACCTTGTTTGTCTTTATTATTGTTCATCTTTTCTTTTTTTTACTATGTTAATCTACTGAAAATAATACATATTATTTGAAGAGAAATATAATGTACCTTCAGCTGCTTTTAAAAAACTTAAATTCTAACGGGAAAAATGGATTTTATGTGCCACCCGTCCTCCTTTCAAGACCCCGGAGAACTGTGCCTCCCTCTTGTTTTCTTGGGTTAGTCTGACTGTACCAGGAGCTAAACTTTCCTTGGTTATTTTTATTATTATTATTATTATATTATTATTTTATTATTATTATTATTATTATTATTTTTAACAATGTATTTTTTTATTGTGCAATGTCTCTTTTTTTCCAAGTTACATTTTCTACACCTGACAAATGATAGGGGGACCCACAAGCTTCCTCAAGCCTGGAGTCAACCTCAGATTCATTCCTATGGTGGGATGTGTGCACACGGACCCTTGTGAACGCAATGACTCTGGAGTCACTCTGAATTGACCCCGGAGCCAGAAGGCGGCTAGTCCAGAGGCCCCCCCCCCATCGAACCCGGCAGCCAGCCAGCCAGCCAGCAGGACCTCGATTGCTGCAAACAGGACTAATCTGCAGCCTGTGTTAACGCAGCTCATTCGTTACTATTATCAAATTTAATTACTTTCCAGTTTATACGCCTTAAATTGACCCTGGATTATGTTTAAGTTTATATATGCCCTTCAAACTGGACCTGGATAAGGACTGCGCCCAAAGGCAAGCAGGGGCTCTCATCCCGCGCCAAAACGGCAGAATCCGGAGTCACTCCGAATTGACCCAAGGATTTGTCCTGGGCAGGGGGAGGGGTGCCCTTCCTCACATCACCCCCGATGCATCGCACAGCATGAACAGAGCCTCTGGTCCGTCTCAGGGCAAAACCTGGTCCCCACCCCCCAACGCGCTTCGGTTGGTGTGAACGGGGCTCATCCGGAGTCACTCCGAATTGATACCCCCCGCCCCGGGGACGTGCGCTTCGCGGGTCCTTTCTCTCCCCTCCCCCTACATCGAGGGCCCATTAGCTGTCTCGGGGCCAAACTCGCTCCGCTTCGTGTGAACGCGGCCAATCCGGAGTGACTCCGGAGTCGCTCCGGGAGGGGGGCGAGCGGCTCCCCGCCCTTCGGCGCCTCCCCCCCTCCGCCTGAGCCCCCCCTCACCGAGAATGGCCCCGAGCCGCGTCGTGAGCCAAGTTTTCCGGCCGCAGTCGGTGCCCTCAGGGATGTCCCAGTAGTCAGCCATCTTGGCGGCGGCGGCCGGTCTCTCGCGAGACTCCGGCGGGCTCACTTCTCGCGGCGGGGCGGGACCAATGGCTGCTGCGGAAAGCGGGACTGATGCAGGGGCCGGCCAATGAAAGGCGGCGGGTGGGCGGGCGGGCTGAAGACGCTTCCGCCCTTCTGATTGGGAGGTCGACGCTCAAGTTCCTCCCCCTCGGCGGAAGGCCATTGGCTGCGCCTCCGAGCGGCTCCCTCGCTTCCGCCCAGGACGTGGCTTCTTCTCCATTGGGCGAGGGCGGGGCGGGGGCGGGTCTTCCGGGGCGATGGCGGCCTCCTGCTCGCCTCCGACGCCGGTGCAGATCCGGGAGGCCAACGCGCACCTGGCGGCGCTGCACGGGCGCGTGGCCGAGCTGGAGGCGCGCCTGGCCGCCGCCGAGGAGACCGTGCGGGGCCAGGCCGGCAGCCTCATCCGGAAGGACGCCGAGACCCGCAGGGCCCTGGAGGAGGTCGGGCGCCAGAAGGGGAGGTAGGAGGGGGGACCACGAGGACTAGCGCCTGGGGGGTAAAGGAAGGAGAAGGAGCAGGGAGATGGAGATGGAGCTGGAGGTCTAGCGCCTTGGGCAGAGGAAAAAAGGGGAAGGAGCAGGGAGATGGAGCTTGAGGTCTAGCGCCTTGGCGGGTAAAAGACTAGAGTTGGAGGACCGTGAGGACTAGATCCTAGAGCAGAGAAGGAGGAAATGGGATGGGCAGGAAGATGGACCTTGAGAACTAGGGTTAGGGTTAACCCTAACCCTTGGCAGGTAGAGGAGGAGGAGGGACAGGGAGATGGATCATGAGGACTAGCGCCTTGGGGGATAAAAGGAAACGGGAAGGAGCAGGGAGATGGATGGTGAGGACTAGCGCCTTGGCGGGTAAAGGAGCAAAGCTGAAGGACCATGAGGACTAGCGCCTTGCGCAGAGGAGGAGGAAATGGGATGGGCAGGAAGATGGACCTTGAGAACTAGGGTTAGGGTTAACCCTAACCCTTGGCAGGTAAAGGAGGAGAAAGGCAGGGAGCTGGATGGTGAGGACAAGCGCCTTGGGAAGTAAAGAAGCCAAGGGTCAGGGCCATGAGGACTAGCGCCTTGGCAGGGAGATGGACCTGGAGGACTAGTGCTTTGGGTGGAGAAGATGAAAAGGCGAAGGAGCAGGGAGATGGATCATGAGGACTAGCGCCTTGGGGAGTCAAGAAGACAATGGGAAGGGTTCTAGCGCCTTGGACAGAGAAGGAGGAAAGAGGCAGGGCAGGTAGGCAGCCATGAGGACTAGCACCTTGGCGGGGGAAGGAGAAGGGCAGGGAGATGCCTCATGAGGACTAGCGCCTTGGGGAGTAAAGGAGCCAAGCTGAAGGGCCGTTAGGAATAGTGCCTTTTAGCAGAGGAGGAGGGCAGGAGCGTTCCTTCCTTCCTTCCTTCTTTCTCCCTCCCTACAAAAAGGGGGGGCTGTCAGAAGGCTCCCCTTTGGGAAACATTTGCCCCCTTTTTCGAGAGAGAGGGGGGGTGGGGAGAAAGAGGACCGGCAGCCGGGGCCTCTTGCGTTTTTAAGACGAAACGTTGAGGACTAGCGCCTTCATCCCCGCACCGCCCAACCTCACTGCCGCTTTCTCTCCTCTTTTCTCCCCCTGCACGAAAAAGGGAGATCGCCGCCCTGGAGGAGCAGCTCCGCTCGTCCGAAGAGCGTGTGCAGGAGCTCCTGGGCCTCATCCGGGAGAAGGACGGCCTGATCCTGCGCCTCCGCCACCGCAGCCGCCTGCTGGGCGAGATCTGCCGCTGCCGGCCCGTGCTGGACACCCTCCTGGCCCAGATGTCCGAAGGGGAGAGGCTGGGGCCCGACAGCGGAGACGACTCCCCGGACGGCCTCTTGCCGGACTCGAACTGCGTCCCGGACGGCGCCAGGGACTTCTCCCTGGGCAGCGACCCCCAGGATTCGGACATGGCGCTTTTTGGGACGACGGTCTGAGCGCGGGTGCGAGTCGCTGTTGGGGGTCCGGAGTTGGCGGCAGCTGCCCCTGTTGAAGGCAGACATTTTGGAATTCTTTGCCCCCTCCTGGCATCACCAGTTCGCCCTCAGGACAATTTGCTTGAGGACTAGCGACTTGACTTCTCTCTTTGACGGCAGCTGAATGAGCGTTCCTGGAAAGCGGGGGGTTTGGGGAAGCCTGCAGGATCAGGCCAAACAGGGGACCCATCTTGCAGCCTGTTCTCACAGGATGCCGGCCGGTTGGGAAGCCCGGATCCGAGTGCGAATGCTGGCGATTCAGAAGCGTCACTGCCTCTGGCCCCAGAAGCAGAGTCGTTCCTGGCTTAGGAGCCATATAGATAGCCCTCTTCTCCCCTGCCCTGTCCTCTGTTTGAAGCCATCCAAACCGCGGGGTCTCTCCTGTGGCAGCGAGTTCCGCAGGTTAACCGGGCTGCTTTTGTGTATTTCTCAGCAGCCGCAACTCACGAGGGGCAGAGCGCAATACTTCTGGGGTGCTCTGGATGGAGATAGGGAGAATTTCGGTGGGTGGGTGGGGGCTGATTCTGCACCACCAGCACCAAATATTTTAAAGGGAAGGTCTCCTGTGGAATTTAATCTGGGACTGACTGTGACTTCCCCTCTCTGCATTAACTCCTCTAGAGGAACCTTGCCATTCTGCGGGTCGGAAGGGAGCCCCGGGTGGGGTCATCTAGTCCAACCCCCTGCGACGCAGAGATCTTTTGCTCGAACTCGCAACCCTGAGAGTCTCATGAGCTATTCCGACCCAGAAATACAGGAATCTGACCTCGCTGCGCACCGATTTTCCTGGACTGGATGGGGGGCCGTTACAGTCCCTGCGGCAGCTCTTTCCCCCACCCCTCTACCTCAGATAAGTGCAGGGAGCAAGCCCCAGCTCGGGGGGTCAGAACACCTGCTTGGCATGCAGAAGGAGCCCAGGGTGCCTGTTTAAAAAGAAGGACTGCAGAAGGCTAGTTTCTTAGGTTCCTCTCGCAGCCTTTATTGGGAACCATGAGGTCTGGAAGCTTGGGTTTTAGTTTTAAAAAGAGGGTGTTGGGAGCGCGTGCCCTGCATGCAGAACGTCCCAGGCTCAGCCCCTTCCAACTCGATGCCAGGCCATTTTACATGTCCCGATTTGAACCAGCGAGACCATGAGATCTGGAAACTTGTTTTTCAAGTTTGTGCCAGGCGTCTGGCATCAGTGCAGCATTCTAGATTCCTATTCACATTAATGGGAGATAATGTTCCTTTTTCCCCAACGACGTGTCTTAACAGGAAAGAAGGGCCTCCAATCGGCCCTTCGCTTCCGAACAATGAGGACTAGCCTCCTGCTTTGTTTTTTTTAAGGACGTTAAGGGCTCCCGGCCTCCTGCTGCCAGTCCGTGCTGGCTATACTGACTTGGATGGTAGTGGCTTCTCTTCCCTTGGCCATCTGTCAGGGATTCTTTCACTTCCATTCCTGCAGTGCCCAGGGGGTTGGGCTAGATGACCACTGGTTGCGCCTTCCAACTTCCTTCCTTTGATGCCTCCATTTCTGTTTTTTGTACCCATTTCCTTGACTTACTCCTCAACCCAGAGCTTGAGAGACAGACTGTGTTCTTAAGGAATTATGAGCGCAGAATCAGTCTCATTTCTGCTCCACGACTGTTACCACATTGACAGGTCAACCTTTAGCCTGGCTTCACCTTCAAGTGCCTATAATTGGGGGATTTTGTTACACAGGAAACCTCTATTTAAAACCATTCCTCCTCCACTAGAGCCAAATAATAAACCTATTTTGCTATACTCTGAATCTGTGTGCTTTGTGAGTCTTTGTTCCTTGCCGATTTCAGCCTCGTTTTCAGGTGCGAAGTTGGGTTTTTTCCTCTAGCAAAAAGCACCCAGCTGTTTGGGCGTGTCTGTGCCGCTGGTCAACGGGGGGAGGGGGGGCTTCTTTTGCCACAGTCCCTGAGTGCCGCCCCCAAATCGTGGGTCTGGAAAGCAAGCCTGATGAGGAACAGTTGAAGGAGCTGGGAGGAGATAGGAGAGCCATCTTCAAATATATCGCATGACACCTTTGGGGAAGGCTGTTCTCCAACTGGAGCGCTCGCAGGCCAGTGTTTCCCAGTTGTCGGTGCTTATACTACATTTTTAAAGATTTGCCTTGAGAGAGTCTTTGAACCTCTTTTGTTGACCACCAGCATTACGCTTTCCATTTTTAAGTTCGGAGTAGAGGAGTTGCTTTGGAAGACGATCATCAGGCATCCGCACAACATGACCAGTCCAACGAAGTTGAAGTTGATGTTGAAGATCACTGGTGATCTTTGCTTCTTCCAGTACATTGATATTAGTTCACCTTTCTTCCCAAGTGATGTGTAAATTTTTTCGGAGACACCATTGATGGAATCTTTTGAGAAGATGGAGGTGGCCTTTATAAGTGGTCCATGTTTCACAAGCGTACAGTAAGGTTGGTAGTACAATAGCTTTGCAAACAAGCATTTTGGTTTCCCTGCGAATGTCCTGGTCCTCAAACACTCTGCGCTTCAATCGGGAGAAAGCCGCACTCACAGAGCTCAGGCGATGCTGGATTTTGGCATCAATGTCGGCCCTTGTAGAAAGATAACTGCCCAGGTAGGAGAAGTGATCAACACTTTCCAACGTTACACCACTGAGTTGGATTTGAATGCCCCCCTAGGGGTCATCTAGATCAACCCCCTGCAATGCCTGGGGCTCAGCGTGCCCACCTTGAAATTGCACGTCGCCCCTTCTGTGCCACCCTACAAATTATTATTTTTCCCTGGCCCTGCAAGAGCCACCAGGATCCTCGAGGGCTCCCAACCCGACGTGGCACACTCATTTTATTTTTTTACGTGGCAGGCTGGACTCCCTTGCTCTGCCAATTGCCGTGCCCGCCTGCCAGGCCTTCCCTTGGGCTGCGAGCCCGGCCCCAAAGGCGCCTCCTGGCAACCGGGGGATATTGCTATGGAGACGTCTGCCAGCAAACTCAGGATCGCCGCCAGCTCTGTGCAAGGAAGTTTGCCAGGCAGAGCTCAGACGCCACCAGGAAGCAGAAGACGAAACACACCCAGGTAGGAGGTTTTGCAAAGAAACAATAATAATGTCCTTTTAACGGCTTTCTCTAAACTGCTCCTAATAGTCCAATGGAAATTAAAGGGGTTTTATTACTTCACCCTGAATGTTGGAAGCAGGGTTTTGCCTCATCCTGGCAGCAAAGTCCAGGAGAGCACTCTGTACGAGGCCAGAGGCCTTTTGCAACGTCCTCCCGTCTCCCCTGGGTCTTGGGATGCTGTGGCCGGTTCGATCTCAGCTGAGGGAAGTCTGGGATTTAATTCCCCAAAGAGCCAAGGAGGGAGGTTTAAGTGGAGGTTGCAAAATCAAGGCGAGGTTGAGCCCCGTCCAAGAGGCAATTCCGGTCGTGGTCCGAGACGGATTTCGGAGGAGCGGCGAAGGAAGGCGGATGTGGTTTGGGAAGGAGGGAGCCGGCGGACGGGAGGCTCCAGAGGGGGGCCAAATTCTCTTTTAATTTTCATCTACAATACTGCCTTGTTTATAGTACAGCACATTGATTCTTGCTTTCGTTTTATGGATCGATGGTCTCGTTAGATAGTAAAATTCACGTTAAATTGCAGTTTTAGGGGTTGCTTTTAAAGGTCTGGAACGGATTAATCCGTTTTGCATTCCTTTCTATGGGAAAGCAGTGCGCCTCGGTTTTGGAATGGACTTCTGGAACGGATTAAGTCTGAAAACCAAGGGACCACGGTATTCTTAAATACTCAGGCCTCCTAGACAGCACCTTAAGCACAGCTGATGGCAGCGAAGGTGTTTTGGGGACCATTTGCTCCTGAGCAATGCAGGGGGGTGGGCTGGATGACCCTTAGGGTCCCCTCCCAACTGATTATGCCAGAAAATTTGGTGGGCCCACAATGACTAAACATGGGGTTCATTCATTACAACACATTAGAGCAGGGCGACAGGGAAGAGGGCGAGGGGCCCGATCCACCCTGGGTGTCTTTTTCCCTCCGCAGATTCCCCGGCGCAGAGGTCAAAATGGAGACGGGTGCCATCGTGAAACTCCGGGCCAAGTGTCTGGAAAGAGGAGCCTCAGGGATTAAGGGGCTGGCCAGGTATGTAAAGGACATTTACTTTGTCTGGCGGCCATTACTCATTTCTTGCTGAAAACCAGAGCTTTTTCCCCTAAAAAAAATGTTTAGGGGTACTCTCATTTTGACTCAAGAAAATCACCATTTTATAGTTCAAATCGGGGGAAATAAACACCGTAAATAGACAAATGGTGCACAAAATTTTTAGGGGTGTGTGCACCCGTGTCCCCCGCAAAAGCACTGCTGGAAACCATTTTGTTATCTTGTCCAGACGTCTTGGCATGTTTCACTCGCCCCCCCCCTCCAAGCATCACAATTTAAATTTAATTGCAAACGTTTTAAACAGCCGTTTTCGCTGGCAAGTTTACCGTTTCATCCTTCCTATAGACCACTTTGAGGTTTGTCCATTTTCTTTCTGCACTCCAGCGGAATATATAAAATAAGTAAAACAAATATCTCACGGGAAAGCAAAACCTTCCTTTTCTGTTCTTGCAGGTTTTTCCGGGTCATGGATGACGACCGGAGTAAAACTTTGGACCTGGAGGAATTTGTGCAGGGGCTCCGCGACGCAGGGGTCCCCCTGGAACGGTCCGAGGCGCAGGAGATTTTCGCCTTCTGCGACAAGAACCGGAGCGGCACGCTGGACTTTGACGAATTCCTGGAGGCCTTGCGGGTGAGAGAGTCTTGTTCCCTGTCTTTCTAAGGTAGACTGTCTCCATCCATGGAGGCGCCATTTCGATGCTGCAGCAGCAGAAACTCTCTGCAACGGGCCCTGCTTGTTTTAATCCTTGCGTTTCATTCTTTGAACCGCCCTGGGATTTCATGATGAAAGGTGGTATACGATGCAAATAAATAAATTCAGAAGCACCCGGCCCGCTGCGGTGGGAGAGTTTAGAAGCTGCACCCTCCTCCGTAAAGTTGTCTGACCCTCTTTCCAAAGTTGGTGCTCGTCCCTGTCTCCAGTGGCAGAGAGTTCCACTGTTTAACTCTGCACTTCATGAAGAAGTTCTTCCTTTTCTCCATCCCAAATTTCCCAATGCTCAGCTTCGGCGTATGCCCACAAACTCTACTTGTATTACGAGAGTTTTCTTTTTTATAAAGCCTGCATCCCATTACCCCCATTTTCCTTGAACTAAGAAGGTCGCAAAACCTCCTTTATACTTCCCCGCCACCATCCACGTTGCTGCCCCCGCCTAGCAACTTTAAACAATCACAGGCAACATGCGGCTAATAAGAATATTAGAAACTAATATCTAATTCCGTTCACGCAACAGCAATAGACTCTCCGTCTCTGTGATTCTATTGCATACTTTCTGTTTAAGAATTTCTAAGCTTGGAGCTTCTACTATCGCAAGGTTACTGGGTTGTGACTTTTGAAAGGCTTGTTTGCCTTTGTGATATTATTTGACTACTTGTTCTAATTTGGTACCTGCATCCATCATCCACCCATCTATCCATCCATCCACACACGTTGCTAATGTTCTCATTAGCCGCGTGTTGCCTGTGATAGTTTAGAGGTCATCTATTTTTGCAATCTATTTTTCCTTTGTAAAATCTCCTTAGTAACTGGCACTGAGGGTAGACTGCTCCTGGCTTCGGAGGCTCGACTGAGCATTTGCCATTGATAAACAGACACCTGGAACCGCCACCTTGCCCCCCCTCTCTCTCTCTCTGCTTCTCCTCCCAGCCCCCCATGTCTGAAGCCAGGAAGGAGGTCATCCGCCAGGCCTTCCAAAAACTGGATCGGACAGGCGACGGCCTGGTGACGGTGGAGGACCTCCGTGGGGTCTACAACGGCCGCTGCCACCCCAAGTTCAAGAGCGGCGAGTGGACGGAGGAGCAGGTCTTCCGTTCTTTCCTGGACAGCTTTGACTCCCCAGATGACAAGGACGGGAAGGTGAGAGGAAAGGACACCCAAGGGTCATCTAGTCCAACCCCTGGCAATGCGGGAATTTTTTCCCCAGTGGGGGGCTCGATGGGCCGCTGGCCTGATCCGGCACAGCTCTTCTCAGGTCCTTTGGGATGGAGTAACCCGCCGTTTTGGCTGCCGCTCCTCCCACCCACATCGCTAACCATTGCCCATGCTGGTCCCTGGGGATCCCAAAGCCCAGGGGCCACAGATCGCTCTGCCTGGACATAAAAACCAGGCTGGTTTTCACCTTATGCCAAGAACCGCCCTGAGATCTATGGGGGAAAGGGGGTATGAAAGCTTATATAATTACTAGAATCCTAGAACTGCAGAGTCCAATGGGACCGTGAGGGTCCTTTAGTCTGACCCACGGCAATGCTGGAATAAATGATCCATCTGGTATGCAGGATGAGACCCTTCCCTGCCCACAGACTGTCTGGCCAGAGTGGGGCATGCTCTGGTTATCTCCCGCTTGGACTACTGCCATGCGCTCTCCATGGGGCTACCTTTGAAGGTTACCCAGAAACTGCAATAAATCCAGAACGCGGCAGCCAGACTGGGGACTGGGAGCGGCGCCAAGACCATATAACACCGGTCTTGAGAGATTTACATTGGCTCTCAGTACATTTCCGAGCACAATTCAAAGGGTTGGTGCCGACCCTTGAAAGCCCTAAATGGCCCAGTATACTTGAAGGAGCGTCTCCACCCCGGACACCGGGGTCCATCTCCCAGGGGCCTTCTGTCGGTTCCCTCCCTGCGAGAAGCAAGATTGCAGGGAACCAGGCAGAGGGCCTTCTCAGTGGTGGCTCTCGCCCTGTGGAACGCCCTTCCCCTCAAGGCAATAAACCACCTGACTTTTAGAAGACATCTGAAGGCAGCCCTGTTTAGGGAAGTTTTTAACGTTTGATGTTTTATTTTGCCTTTAATATTCTGTTGCGAGCCGCCCAGAGTGGCTGGGGCAACCCAGTTAGCTGGATAGAAATAACAAATTAGGGGAGGGCCACAGATATTCGCCCTGCCTGGATTTCACCCTGTATTTTTACGCCAAGAACTGCCCCAAGATCTAAGGGTGAAAAGAGGCATACAACTTCGGTTAGTACTTACATAACGACGACCCTAGAATCTGAGAACTGCAGTTGGATGGGATCCCCGAAGGTCCTGTAGTCTGACCCCCGGCAAGGCAGGAATAAATGGTCGTAAGGGTGGTGCGCGTGTCGAATAGGCGGCAGACCCGTCAGGCTTTCTGTACCCGCAGGTGACGGCCGAGGAGTTCCTGAACTACTACAGCGCAGTCAGCGCCTCCATCGACAGCGACGACTATTTCGTGGGCATGGTGAAAGCCGCCTGGAAGATTTAGCGAGAAGGGAAGAAAAACCCAGCCAAGCAAGCAAGGACTTATCCTTACAAGTTTTGTCTCTCTTTTTTTTTAATGTAATTTCCAAATACATCTGATATGACAATTGTACAGAAATCTTCCAAAACACAGGGGGCGTTGTCTGAGTCTTTTGCTTTTTTTGGGGGGGGGGGGAAATCGTATTTTGCTTTTTCCCCAACTAGTTGGGCTCGAAGTGGGCAGGCGCCGGGGGGAGCGTTGAAAACGGGGGGGAAGGAAGGGAAAAGTTTCAACGCAACAGCCTTGTCTCTGGCCCAGCCAACCTTCCTCCGTCCCTGGGGAGAGGGGGCCATAATGAAACGCAGGGCCAGGGAGGGGGGACAGAAAAGGGGGGAAAAACGGGTGTTTTCTGACCGGCTAAAGTATGCACAGGAAACGAGAGACGAGAAATTATTTTAAAAATTCCATCTTCCCGTCCACCCTCTCCTCTTCTTTCGCCACAAGTGACCTGTGTCCAGCTCCAAACCACATCCATAAATAGCTGCCAGATATATATATATGTGTATAATTTCTTTCCGCCCCCCCTGAAAGGATGAACTCTGCGGGAGGAAAACTGTTTAAACACATTCAATGCAACGTTAACCATTGGAACCATTCGAGCTCTGCCCTCTTGCGAACCTTTTCGCACATGCGAGACCCACGGGGGAGCCCTCAGGACTCTTGCTACACCTGCGTAAACGCACATCTTGCGAGTCTCTCTCTCTCTCACGCCGAGGACCAAATTTCCCACCCAATTTTCTCCGGTAAAAACAAAGAGTCAGGAAAGTTGTAGCTCTTTGGAGAGGCGGAAACAGCCAGCGCTTGCGGGGGAGACAGGAGCTGGGGCTGCCTCGGCTCAAGGGGCAAGAGCGCCCTTTGGCCTTCTGGGCATTGCTGAACTAGAACTCCCGCCTTCCCGGACTAGCTGGGAGTCGTAGTTCAGCCGCACCAAGGCTGCCCACCAGACACGGCCCTGTTGGTTTGGGAACTGTGGGCCCAGCAGAGGTAGGGGCTTGCTTTTCCAACCGTTCTCCGTGGATCAGTGTGTCTCCCCCCCTCCGTCTTCTTGCCAGCCGTTTCATAGGGAGCAAGGGGGCGTCCCCACAAAGGCCGCTTGCGCCCCTGTCCAGAACCTGAAGGGTGCGATGTCTGGTTCCCGGCCACATACGCTTTGAGGCTGCCTCTGTTTTATCCCGGAGGCATCTTCGCTACCCACTAGAAATCCAGAAAATGACAGAGCGGACCTTCTTTGGCTGGCAAAAAACCACAGGGGCAGAGAATACGACCCCACCCCCTGCCCCATCCTAAAGATGGCGATTCCAGGGCACGTTCCGATTTTTAAAGTAATAATAATAATAACACACAGCAGCAAGTTTTTACCAAGCCAGAAAAGAAATAAGCACACAGACCCAAAACCCCAGGTCGAGGGGAAAGGCGCTTGGGGCGGGTATCTCTTTTCTCTCTTTGCGTGCCCAGCAGATATTCCCGGATCAGGCGGGGCGGGGGGAGCAAATCAAAGCCCCCTTCTCACCCTCCAAATCGGCTGTTTGGCGCCGTGACAAGACCAGGAGGAAATTTTTTTTTGGGGGGGGGGAATTTGCTAGGAAGGAAAAACCAACACACACACTCAAGCTGACAGACACATTGGCGCCAGTTATATATATATGTGTGTGTGTTAATATATATATATGGCTTTGCTTGTCTTAAATAAGAACAGAAAAGAAGGTTCCCCCCCCCAATTTGCTCAACGCACAAGAGAGATGGGGGAGGATCTGGTTCAAAACTGGGGGGCTACCTTTCAAGGAGAAGGTTTCTGCCACGACTGACGCCAGGCAAACCAGTAGTAGTAATAATAACAACAACAATCCGGAGGCAGGAATCGGCCTGGTGAGATGTAACTGGGGGAAAGGCAGTTTAAAAAGAACACCCCCCCAAAAAAAAATTAGCAAAGCGTCTCTGCGCATCAGCCACGATTGGGTGGATGTTTGGGGCGAGGCGAGGAAGGAGAAAACACGACAAGAGATGTCCGTCGGACGAGAGACGGGAGCAAAAGGTTCTTCTGCTGGGGCGAGTGTTTTTTTCCTAAAAAAAAGAGGATGAAAAATGGCAAATTGGGGTGGGGGAGAAGAGAGTCTTCCGTGTGGAATCCGGCAGGGATGGCGGTTGGAGGAGGGATTCGTCTGCGGCGCAGGCCTGGAGGGCTACCGGAGAGGAGAATCGGGAGGTATCCCCGTGGGCAAGTCGTGGCAAGTCTCAAGGTGCCTCCCCCCCCCTCAAATATTCGCCAAGTGTGGAGAGAGGGGGGGCAGAGAGAGGAAGGGAGGAAAAGGGGATTCCTCTCCTCCCGGGGCTCATCAATATGATGAGCATTTTATTTCTCTTTTTGTACATGTCCCAAAACCACATTCAGCCTGTTTTGTCCAAAGTCCGCTGCGTTTTCTCGTTTTAATATGGAATCGACAGATCCGCCCCCCTGCCCCACCCCCCCAAAAGTCCAACGCACGATGGGGGAGGAAGGGGGGAAAGAAAAAAAAGAACAAAAAACCAGAACTGGGATGTGCAGAGTTCGTCAATCTCGAGCGCTTCCGTCGCTGCCCGGAGCAAGAGCTGGTCGGAGGGAGGGCGTCCCTCCCCGCCCCGCAAGAGGGGGGTCTGCAAAGAGGGCGGTGGTGTCGGCGGGGGGCGGCGACTCTTGCCGGCGGCGCGGATCGTGGCTGCTATGTGCCGCCCGTCGTCTGCCCGTCCCCTTCGTTGGTGGGACCTGCGGGGGGGGGGGAGAGAAGGAGGCGCTGCTAAACCGGCCGCTGGGCTCACCTAGGGAGACCAGAGCGCGGCTCCAGGCGACTAATTTCCCCCGCCAAATAAATCCAAATGACATGCAAATAAAAAAATAAAACCCATGAAATATGACAATGGACAACCCCCCATATAAGCGCCCCCAAGGGCTCGCTGCGAAGCCGGCACACAAAGCGGCAAAAATGGTCTCAAGAGAACGTGAAAATGGAACAAAAAACGCAACAGCAAAGCCTTGCACCGATCTTTGAGGGTTGTGGAAAGTTGGCAGGTTGAGCAAGGTTGGGAGGGAGCAATTATGGTGGATGTTTGGTTTTTTAAAAAGTAATACAGTGGTGCCTCGCAAGACGAAAAGAATCTGTTCCGCGATTCTCTTCGTCTTGCGGTTTTTTCGTCTTGCGAAGCAACCCTATTAGCGGCTAAGCGGATTAGCACTATTAGCGGCTTAGCGGGCTTAGCGGATCAGCTGATAAGCGGCTTAGCGGCTTGGGGAAAAGGGGGGGGGGGAGGAAAAACACCCTGCAGGAACTCGCAAGACATTTCCGTCTTGCGAAGCAAGCCCATAGGAAATTCGTTTTGGGAAGCACCTCCAAAACGGAAAACCCTTTCGTCTAGCGGGTTTTCCGTCTTGCGAGGCATTCGTCTTGCGGGGCACCACTGTAATAATAATATTATTATAATAATTTATTCTTTATACCCTGCCCATCTGGCTGGTTTCCCCAGCCACTCTGGGCGGCTTCCAACAAAGGGTTGAAAAGACATTAAAACATCAGCCAGATTGGTAGGTAGAAATGGTAAAAAATAAGAAGAAACATTCCCACACAATGCCATGTGATGATCTCCCTTTCAACACCCCCCCCAAACCCCATTCCTTGCAAAGCCTCAAACCTCCTCTGCCGTTAGTAAAGCCCCCGGTCTAGGAAACTGAAAAAGCAACGCCGAAAAATGTGGGAGATTGTTAAGGCCCCTGGAAAGGGGAGCCCTGGCTCACCACTTCCGGGCGACCCCGAGGGGGCGAGGACGTCGTCGTCGCTGTCTTCCTCGTTGGACTGGGTCACTTCGGGCTCCGGCGCTGCGCTGCTGACTTCCTGCTCCTGCTCCACCCGACTCCGCAAGGCCAGGATCCGGTGGTGCAAGGCCGCGTAGAGCTGCCCCGTGTCTTTGGAGCTGGCCTGTGGGGTAAAGAAGGGCTCGCTCTCAAAAGCGGGTGGGGGGACCCCCTTCACCTCTTCCCCCCCCTTCTTCCTAATGTGACCCTAATGCAGGGGTAGGCAAACGTAAGGCCCGGGGGCCGGATCTGGCCCAGTCGCCTTCTCAATCTGGCCCTCGGACGGTCCTGGAATCAGCGTGTTTTTACATGTGTGCTTTTATTTAAAATGCATCCCTGGGTTGTGGGGCATAGGAAAATTGGGCGTATTTTTTTATATATAATTTCAATTTTCGCGCGATTTAGGCTAATGCAATTTCTGCGTCAGTTTAGGGGGGAAAGTATGACACATGCGTATATCCCGCCTCCTTACCGATATAAGGAAGACCTTGACTCCTTGGTCCTCTGTGTCCATCGCTGTGATTCGGATGCTCTTTTCGCTGGCTTTGTCAATCTGCATCTGAGCCCACAGTTTGGTGTTCAGGATTAGCCGAAGGCTGCCTTGCGTTCTCATCACTGAGGAGAGAGAGATTTCAAAAGAGCAAACAAGCGTTTATTTCGGATCACAGCGTCTCCACCCCCATCGTTCAGCCCGGACACCGGGGTCCTCCTCCCGAGGGCCTTCTGGCGGTTCCCTCCCTGCGAGAAGCGAAGTTACAGGGAACCAGGCAGAGGGCCTTCTCGGTGGTGGCGCCCTCCCATCAGATGTCAAGGAAATAAACAACTGTCTGACTTTTAGAAGACATCTGAAGGCAGCCCTGTGTAGGGAAGATTTTAATGTTTGGTGTTTAATTCTGTTTTTAATCTGTTGGGAGCCGCCCAGAGTGGCTGGGCGAACCCAGCTGGATGGGCAGGGTATAAATAATAAATTATTATTATTATTATCATTATTAACAACAAAATGACTTTCAGAAGACATCTGAAGGCAGCCCTGTTCAGGGAAGTTTTTAATGTTTGATGGTGTTTTTAAAGTTCTGTTGGGAGCCGCCCAGAGTGTCTGGGGAAACCCAGCCAGATGGGCGGGGCATAAACTTTATTATCCTCATCATTACTGCATCATCTTGCTGTCAGAAAGCTCCTCCTCGTTTCCGTCGGAATCAGTGGCATATGAATATCTTTCTAAGGAAGTGGTCTATCTCCTCTGGGGGTCCTGCTCAGCCCCAAGGACCGGCTCGCCTTTGCAACGCACCCCGTGGCAGACTCTTCCCTGGCTGTGGCCCCCAGTTCCCGGGCTCTTCCTCTTTGCCCCTGCTCTTACCAAGGCGCGACTGTAGTGTCCCGTCGTCCGTGGAAGCCATGTCGTTGAGCCTCAGGAGTCCCCGGCCTCTTTCGACCCAAGACTGGGAGTTCTTATCAAAGACAAACAACTTGCATTGTATCTGCAACAGAGGAAAGGGGCTGAAGGACGTTAGCAGCGAAGGCAGCAGAGATCGAAAGCTGAAGGAGGAAAGACGGCCGTTCCCTGCAAAGCCCCGCGAACAGGAACTCCAGGACGGGCCCAGCGCGGAAGGCGGAGGCGGCAGCAAGGAGCATCTGCAGGTAAAGGAAACTGGAGCATGCGCAGAGCGCCGAGACTGGTGTGAAGGAGGCTGCGGGGGGAACTGGGGCCGCCAGTCAACAAGGTGCAAACCAAGACTGACAAACCAAGTCGATGGACTATGCCAAACTGGCAAAACTAACTGGGAAGCTCAGAAATCAAGAAGACAAGAACTGCAGCCAATCGGAAGCTGCGCCTTGGCTTTTGAACGGTTTCGGGAGTCAGATGGACTTCTGGAACGGATTCCATTTGAGAACCAAGGTGCGACTGTATATTATTTTATATTTAGTATAGTATATCGTATAATGCTTGTATAGTATAGCCCATTCCATCTCCCAAATCAGGATTCAAGTCCGCTTCTGACCAATCCAGCTGTCTTAAATGTTGCAAATGTCCCTGCAGAGATGGCGCATGGGATGCTGCCACTGCCCGCTTCTCCTGCTTACCTGTAGGACGTTGCTCTCGGCTTCTTCCCCCGTGATCACCTCCACCTTCTCCAGAAGACACCTCCTGGCCGTCGCCTTCGTGTAGGCTGCGGCAGACTCGGCCAGCGACTCTGAAATGTTGTTGGCTGGAGAACGGATAGGCCACATCCTCATTATTATTAAAATTAAAATTCAATCTTTACTGGTTTAAAAATGAGACAGGCACACAAATAATAGTAATAAAAACACAGCACATAACTCACAAAAAAAGAAAACAGTACAACGCGAAAACGCAAAAACATTTCAGCCATCGACATCCGACCTCCCTGCTGATGATTCTTTGCTTCCTTGCTACTTGCCTCTATTTTTCAATAAACTTAGCCTGTATTACATCTTATTTGTGTTCTTTATACCGTATGCAATTCCGAGAGTTACTCAAAGCCTTCCAAAGTTTTACTATGGGGAGAATGTTCTTTTAAATACTGCCTACGAATCTCCCGTTCCTTTTTAAACTTTTGGGTCGACCGAAACGGAAGCGCTGTTTACCTTCCTGCCACAGTGGTACCTATTTATCTACTGGTTCTGGCATGCTTTCGAACTGCTAGGTAGGCAGGAGCTGGGATAGAACAATGGGAGCTCACCCCGTCGCGGGGATTCGAACCGCCAACCTTCTGATCGGCAAGCACAAGAGGCTCAGTGGTTTAGACCACAGCGCCACCGGCGCTTACCATAAAATAAAATAAGCCACATTACTGGTGGTGGGGTGGAGAGGGCAGAGGGCTCTGAAACATCACAGCACGAATGGTTCCTCCCCTCCCTGCTTTGACACCCGGGTCGAGGAAGAGCACAGCTGCCAAAACCCACTGGACTTCAGCATGTGCGACTCTTGAGTCGACGGACTCCGTGGGGGCCGCTCCTGGGAGACAGGGAGAAGAGGGAGCCCGACAACCGTACCTTTCTCGGGAGTGGCTTCTTGCGATGAGGACTCCGAGCCTGAATCTCCGCCGGCGTTCTCCTTGACGCTGTCCGTGCTGGCTTCGCTCGACTTGGGGGGGCTCTGCTGGAAAGGAGCGGCGGTCAGAAAACAGGGACGCTACCGAGGAAACGCTCCAGGCCGGCGACCTGGCGGCTGGCCTGGGGCTGCATCCCGCTGGGAAGTTGAGCCGGCTGCCCTGCAATAAGTTCCCAGCGGGGTGGGACTTGCCCACAAGTATTTGAATTCTGGAATGGACTCCCCAGGGCGGTTGTGGGCTCTTCTTCCTTGGAGGCTTTTAAGCAGAGGTTGGATGGTGATCTGTCATGGATGCTTGAGCTGAGATTCCAACTCTACAATTTTATGGTTCTATGAAGTCAGGACGCTCAAGCACCCCGTTCCATCTTTGCTGTCTAAATCTACAGAACTGAAAGCTCTCAGGAGCAATGGACACGGCTGCCAGAACCTTGTAAAAAGGTGAAGGGACCCCTGACCATTAGGTCCAGTCGTGGCCGACTCTGGGGTTGCGGCGCTCATCTCGCTTTATTGGCCAAGGGAGCCGGCATACAGCTTCCGGGTCATGTGTCCAGCATGACTAAGTTGCTTCTGGCAAACCAGAGCAGCGCGCGGAAAAGCCGTTTACCTTCCCGCCGGAGCGGTACCTATTTATCTACTTGCACTTTGCCGGGCTTTCGAACTGCTAGGTTGGCAGGAGCTGGGACTGGGCAACGGGAGCTCACCCAGTCGCGGGATTCGAACCACTGACCTTCTGATCGGCAAGCCCTAGGCTCTGTGGTTTAGACCAGTGTTTCCCAACCTTGGGCCTCCAGCTGTTTTTGAACTACAATTCCCATCATCCCTGACCACTGGTCCTGCTAGCTAGGGATGATGGGAGTTGTAGTCCAAAAACAGCTGGAGGCCCAAGGTTGGGAAACACTGGTTTAGACCACAGCGCCACCCACGTCCCTTGCCAGAACCTCAATTGCCCCCCAAATGGAGAGGGGGGAAAACCTAGATTTGTTTTCACTTTGGTATTCAAAGAATTCATTGAGTGACTGAATTTGCAACCCACCTTTCTACTGCCGGGAGCTCAGGCGATGTGCACGGTTCCCCGCACTTCCTCCTCCTATCCCCACAACAATCCTGCAAGGCGGGCTAGGCTTAGAGGCGGCCCCCAGCCCCAAAGGAACCTTCACAAGTCACTGCAGGGCCTTGGAGGGGGAGAAATGTGCAGGCCGCCTCGAGCTCCCGGGAAGCAAAAAGCGACATATAGAAATGCAACGAAGAGGAAGGCAAACAGACGGTCAGTGGCCTCGCAGGGATGTTGTTCTCTGTCTCTGGACCCGGAAAGAAGGGAGGCGGACTCACCAAGACTCTCTCGCTCATGTTCTGGCCAAACACAAACTTGTTACTGGGGGCCTCCGCGCTGTGCGTCGAGTTTTCTATGCTGCAGGGAAAAGAGGAACACTCTGTTTTCCCCCTGCGACAGCGACAAGGCGGACTCGCTGCCCTCTCAGCGCAGAGGAAGGAGGGAAGGCCTGGGGTTCGAGGCTGCTGCAGAACCCAAGGAGCGGGAGGGGAAGGGGAGGGGGGTCGCCGGCGGTCTCTTCCCCACCTGGAGCTGATGTACTGGAGGAAGTAGTTTGTGGCCAGAGGTGCCTCCGAGTTGGGGAGCCGGGAGTTCTGCGCGTCAACGGCGCCGTCGACCTCGTCCCCTAGCTGGGATGGAGATGGGAAGCAGTTTCTACATGTGCCATAGAGGGAAAGGGGGGGGCAGCTGGGAAGGGAGCCTGTTGAGGACAACACTGACCCGAAACTTTGTGGGACATCTTTGGGAAAAGAAAAAGCTTAGGAATAAACCCGACACAAATCTGGAGTCCCCAAGGATGATGCCTTGTACGGCTCCTTCCGGCAGACTAGCGGGTGCCAAAAACGTCTCGCTCTGCTTTCCTTTGGCCCACATCAGCGAGGGGGGGGGTCTTGTCATCTGTGCAGCCCAGGACCCCCAGACCCACTGCCCAGGCTTGCACCCCAGGAGGTCACTTCAATGCTTCTCACACAGCTATTTGGCTTTACTCGCTTGTCTCTCAGGACAGACGGGCGCCAACAATATTCCCACCCTGCCTATCGCATCGGCTATCAAGTTTACACGTACCTTCACACGGTCCCTTAGGTTCTGCCCAAACACGAAGGACTGTGGCGTGTTCTGGTCTGCCTTCTCTGTCTCCGAGGTGCTGTTGGACTCCTTAAGCAACGCACAAAAACACACGGTTAAAAAGCACCACAACAGCTAAAAATAAGAAGTTCGGGGCGGGGGGTTTACTGGCTTTAAAAAGTGTGTCTTTGGGAGCCAGGGAATGCCTGGACTGAGGGAGCCCCCCGTATTCCTGCAGCGAGGGTGCCCCCCAACACCACAAACCAATCATCAAATCAGAATAAAAACCCAGGACCGGCAGACGAGACGCCGGCCCACGTCCTCCCTTCTGCCAACACCTCAGGGCTCCCGACAGACTCACCTTCTCCTCTGTGTCGGGGCTTTTGGGCACGGCGTTCGTTGTGGATTCCGACACAGCGGCCACGGGGTCCGGAGGGATGCTTACGCCGTTGGTCCCGCTGCTTGGAACTGCGGAGGAGAAAACACCCCGTTTAAAAGCACGCAAGGAGCGCCGCCTTCGTTCTTGCAAGAGCCCTTATTTCTCGGCGGCGGTTTTGTTGGTTTTTAAAAGCAGGGCAGAATCACAAGGGCTCAAGCAGAGCCCGGCTGCGGGATCAGGCCCATCTCGGCCAGCGTCCTGGTGCCCCAAGGGGAAGTCAAAAAGAGGGACCTACATCCATGACCCATTTTTACCATAAAGTGTTTCGGCTCCTGAATACCACAAACCCGGAAGTGACTGTTCCGGTTTGCGCACTCTTTTCGAAAGCCAAACATCCGGAGCTTCCTGCAGCCAATCGGAAGCCGCGAACGTTTTGGAAGTTGAACGGATTTTCAGAACGAATTGCGTTCGATTTCCGAGGTACGACTGTACTTGGATGGGTTTGGTTCCATTAGCACAAGGAGTTCGGCTTGTGCGACAGAAATCCCCCTTTGCCCTGGAGGGTTGGGGGAAACCCCAGAACACATTTAGGGGGTGTGTGGTGGCGATGATTGAGTTCCTTTGAGCTAACAGAGTGGTCCCCTGCTTCGGGGGCTTCCATTTGGGGGTCTCTGTTTGGGTAAAAAGTCAAGGACCCCTGGACGGTTAAGACCAGTCCAAGGTGAATATGGGGTTGCAGCGCTCATCTCGCTTCAGGCTGAGGGAGCCGGCATTTGTCTGAAGACAGCTTTCTGTGTCATGTGGCCAGCAGGACTAAACCACTTAATGGGACACCGTGACGGAAGCCAGAGCTCACGGAAACGCCGCTTACCTTCCCGCCAGAGCGGTACCTATTTATCTACTTGCACTTTGACGTGCTTTCGAACTGCTAGGTTGGCAGGAGCTGGGACAGAGCAGCGGGAGCTCACCCCGTCATTGCGGGGATTCCAACCGCCGACCTTCTGATCAGCAAGTCCTAGGCTCAGTGGTTTAGACCCCAGCACCATCCCAGTTGGACAGGATGCTAGGCTGTGATGGGGACCCTCTTCCTTGCCAAGAAACAAGGCTGCTCACGGACCCAGGAAGGAAGTCTGGCTGCTCCCTCCCGCGCCCAGGGGAGTCACTTGCCTGTTTGGGAGAAAGCCTTGGGCTGGGGGGCTTGTAATACTGCCGGGCGCAGGACGCTTCTCTGCTGTTCCTTCGGTTTCTGGCTGGGGACCCCTGCGGGGGGGAGGGGGGGAGGAGAAGAGAAGAAAGGATTCCCTTGGGCCTTCCGCAGAGATGAAGGAGGGGATTCCCCCCCCAGCCCGGTCCAAACCTCACCAGCAGCCCCTGACCTAGACACCCTCCTAATGTTTTGGTCGCCAACTTCTTATAAGACGCCCCCTATTTGGGGGGACTCCGATTTAAGAAAATGGAGGAAAGGTGGAATATTAACATAATCTTACTAGCAGCAAATACGCCCCTCTGTTTTCCCAGTGCCCTCGGGTAAAAAAACTTGTTCCTTACCTGCGCTGGGCGCCTGGCCATGGATGAGAGTGGGAGGCTTCAACCTGAATCCAGTGCTTTTTTCCTCTGGAATGAAAAATGGAAAAACATTGCTCTTTCTCTCTCCCACTTCCAAAACTGGGAGGGGGGTTGGGGAGGCAGGGGCGGGGGGCAGCCCAGCCGAGACCCTCACCTGGCTCAGAGTCGGAGTTCCCCGCCGAAGGCTCGCATAAGCTCGATGGCATGAAGACATTGTTCTTTGTCACTGGAAGAGGAGAGATGGTGAGAGAGGATGCTCAGAGCCTGGGGGAAAGTGCCCCCCCCCAATTTTGCTGCCCACCCCCAGAGAATCAGCATAAGGGGGCAGTAACTGTGGAAGCTAGGAGAGAGCTGAGTTCGAATGCCCACCCCAACTTCTTTTTTAAAGTGTATGTTTCCTTTTTTGAATGCTTTATTGATTGAAAACTTTATAACAGAAATGTACAATAGACGTTATAGGCAAAATGAGAAACAAAAAATACACAATTTTTAATTTTTAAACTAACACTTGCTTTGTACATCGATTTGTACATCCGATCTTCCCCTGCGTTCCCGAATTGAATTCCTTAAATGTGCGCTTAAACTTTACTTTCTCCATGTTATTTAACTAACTATAAATTTCATTTTATAAAATCGTCCTATTTACACACCGAAGCTCAATCAAAACCTGCCAATGGATCCATCTTTGGACAATGTTCTTTTACACAGACTCTGTATATATCCCACCCTCTGATAATTTTTTCATCTGTAATGTTCTCTTGGCCTTGCTGATAATCCCACCAGCTTTGAATACTCTCTTAGTTTATTTTGCCAGTCTAATTTGGATGGGATATCCTCTCCCTCCCAGCCTTTTGCGATTAGAATTCCAGCAGCGACTGTAACATACATAAAGACTCTCCTGAACTTTTCTGGGATTTCATTAGCCTTAATTCAGGTTTTTAAGGGAAAGAGCATTTCCAACTGTCCCTGGAAAGGTTAGAGGACAAGACACGCAGCTTTCTACGAAATGGGAGTGTGTATTTTCCCTGGTGCTGAGTAAAGACCCCTGTTGCAGTTAAGAGAGAAACAGCTTGTGTGTGTGAAATCAATACTTAGTTGTATCCCCAACCAGGAGACCACTTGCTCCCCACAACAAGCATACATAAAAACAGAAGACAAGTTTTGCTGGATGAGACCAGCAGCCCATCTGCCCCAGAGCCGTTTCATTTCACACTTAATTTGCTCACACCCTTTCTCCATTGCTGGACAGCGAATGGGCAATTTATGTCACAGCCGTCCTTTCCGATATCAGCCCAGCACAAAATCTGGAGCCCAGAGCTGTGTTTCCTGGCAGCCGGTCCCATTCCCAGATCTACCTCCCCTTCCGGCTCCTAGCTGAAGCGCATTGCAAGAAAAATGCCGCAAGCCCCCTGAGAAAATACACTGCTCTAGAGAAAGGACGAGAGGAACCGCCCAAGTCGTCCCCCTTTACCTGACTGCGAAGGTGGGAACTGTGTGAGGGAAGAGGTCCTTTCGCGCTTGACGGGGGGGCAGTAGCTCCCATCCTCTCGGTCGGACTCTGTGGGGAAGGAGAGAGAGAGAGAGAGAGAGAGGGTGAAAGGGAAGCCCACTTTGTGTCGTCTCAGCCTTCGGGGTTGCAACCCAGCTAGCAGGAAGGACCACCTAGAAGCAGGCTTTGAAAACAGATGGGCACTCCTCTGATGGCTGTGTCTTCCATGCCGGCCCTGCCATGAGAAAGAGTGGGGCAGCTGCCTCAGGCGGCAGAAGCTGAGGGGCAAGGAGTGGCCAGGGTTGTCACTGCCATGCGGTCTGCCTTATGCCTGCTATGGTGTCTTCCCATCAGTTTCTGAGTAAGATCCAACTACTAGCCCTGGGAGAGGGTGCCTTCTGGTCCTCAGGCAGCAAAACGTCTTGAGTGGGCCTGAAGGAAGGGGGCGTCTGTGGTCCCCCAAGTGCTGCTGGCCTCTGACCCCCGGTAGCCTCGGCCGGCCAGCGTGGCTGTCGCTCACAGCTCTCCCTCTCTGATCCCTTGTCTGGCCCTCCCCTGGAAGCCACCACCTCCCTCTGACGCCCAACGTGAGAGCCGGCCCCACCAACTGCCAGGAGTTTTTTTTACTTGCGGGAGCAAAACCCTTGGCCGGAACGGCAGGAGTGAAACAAGCCCCTGCACCCTGGCCGGCGACGCAAACATGTCGGCCTTCCGCGCAACCCATCCCGACAGTGTCTCTTTCTGGCACAGGGGGATCATCACCCCAAGAATGGGAATTCGGGGCGCCTCTGGACTGTCTCTAGGCAGCGGACACGAAGTCTCCCTCACCTTCCCCGTCTTCTGGACTTGACCCATCTGCTGACCTCTGTAACAAATATATATACACGCGTGTAAGAGTTAGATTGCATCGCCCTCTCTCTCTCTCTCTCTCTCTCTCACACACACACACACACACACACACACAATTATTGGGAATCCAAGCCATGGCAAATCGCCCACCTTGAAAACAACTCACGTGAGTGAAAAGGACCCAGGGGTCAAAGTGCCTAAGACAACTTCGTTGCCGTTTGGTCAATTTTAGTTTACAGTGGTGCCTTGGTTCCCGAACAAATCGACTCCCGAATGCTGCAAACCCGGAAGCAAGTGTTCTGGTTTGCAAACATTTTTCGGAAGCCAAACGTCCAATGTGGCTTCCAATTGGCTGCAGGATGGAAGCCGCAACTCGGTTTCCGAACGGTTCCAGGAGTCGAACGGACTCCCAGGACAGATTAAGTTCGAGAGCCAAGGTAGCACTTTGTATGCAGATATGGCAGCTAAGAAGGTCCCACAGGTCTATGCGAGTGTCTGGATTTAGCACACTCCAAGCTTACTTTTCAATTGTTTAAGTTAAAAAGAAAAGGATAGAAGCAACTGTTTTAATTCAGGGCGCGGGACTCTTTGTGATGTCAGACGCAGGCATTCTTTCCCTCTTGGAATAATTTCCTAAGGACTCGGGAAGTCATAGAATTGTCCTCTCCATCTTTGCAATTCTACGATTCTTTGACCCAAAGGATCCTCTGCTCCAACCTTCTGCAATGCAGGAATCGGAGCTGAAAAGCCCATCGCCTTCCTCTGCCGAAGAAGACCTGTTACTGCCAGGGAGTTCTTCCTAATGTTTAGCACAGCTGGACAACTGTGAAAACTTTTTTAAAAAAACAACAACACATTTTTTCTGTATTCACCCCCCGAAAGCTATTCGATGCTATTAAAAATTCAATTAAAAATAAGTAAAAATTGGCCAAAATCACAGAACAGGAGAACAAGTTTGGGAGCAGCACCCAAGGATGGAACAGGAGGAGGAAGGAGGGAATTGGAGGGAAGGAGAACTTCAGGCCAACAAATGGGAAATCGGTGGCCCTCCAAAGGTTGCTGCGTTGCCAGTTCTTGTTCCCGGCTTCTGGAGCGGCTGGGTGCCCTGAGCCACAGGGACGACCGCCCTGGGGGGCAGACTGATTTTAAAACACTGCCAAGGCTGCAGCGCTGCCCCAGATTAAGTGGCGAGGGTGCTGTCTTCGCTTCATTTCCCAAATCACGACACTTCCAAAAACGGCAGGCGGCCTGAGTTCTGTTGGAAGAGGCGTCCCCTGCCAACCCCAAGCCCAAAGATATGCTGCTGAGACATAACCCTGAAGCGCCTTCCTCTCCCTCGCCACCCCGTCCAAGAACTGCTATTTCCCTTCCGTTGAAGGGCACTGGCTCAGGGGCGCAGAGGTTGCCCAAGGCCCCGGCGGCATATCTAGGAATGGCTGGCAAACGAAGACCCCCGCCTGAAACCCTGGAACGCCGCCGGATGCCAGTCAGAGTGGGCAATGCAGAGCTAGGCTTCAAATCCCCACTTGGTCATGAAGTCAAGTTTCAGCCTCTTCACCTCCTTTGCAAGGCTGTTGTAGGGAGAACGGAGGAGGGGTGTGTGAACCATGTGCTCCTTGGAGAAAGAGGTGGGAGATGAATGCAGCAAATGAGCTCTTCCTCCACTGACCTGCTTAAGAAAGCCGGAGGGCCCAGCCAGAGGGAGGTGCCCGCTGCCAGCCTGGCACCCAGAGATCTCCACGCGGTTGCAATCGGACTCATGCCAGTCGCAAAACGGACTTGGCACCTGGGGGGTTTCAAACAGGGCAAGACCAACACTCCTGACCAGGAAACATCCCATGCTCCCCCCTCACCCCCCAAAGTATGAGTTCCCGCATCACTTTGGGCCCTTCGGACAAAGGGCAGAATAAAACCAAAAATAATACCACCCCTTTTGTACAGTGGTACCTCGGGTTAAGTACTTAATTCGTTCCGGAGGTCCGTTCTTAACCTGAAACTGCTCTTAGCCTGAAGCACCACTTTAGCTAATGGGTTCTCCCGTCGCCACCGCACGATTTGTGTTCTCATCCTGAAGCAAAGTTCTTAACCCGAGGTACTACTTCTGGGTAAGTGGAGTCTGTAACCTGAAGCGTCTGTAACCCGAGGTACCACTGTATTTCTATCCACCCCCCTTGCCTTGGATCACGTGGGGCATCTGCTAGCCGTTTGAAACCTCTAAAAACAGGACTGCGTCCTTGGCACTCTCAAAGACGACACCCTGTTTCGGTCCCTCCCTTACCAAGCACACCTTCGCCCGCCCCCGTCCCAGAATTTCCACCGAATGCGCACCCAACCCAATCTCGGAACTCCTGTTCCAGCCTGCGCTCGACCCTCCCAAGGCCCACACAGCGGCCGGCCACCCTCACCCCTGGATACAGGGCAAAGGAGGCCTGTTTCCATGTCTCCAGGCCGGGCTGGCCACGCTTGTGCCCTCCGGGCGCTCTCCCAGCAGCCAGCAGGGCCAATGGTGAGGCCCAAGAGCAGATGGAAAGTCAGAGGCTTTGGGAGGGCATCCGATTCCTCGGCCGGAATGGAGACGGGTGTGGGGATCGCGCGGCTCTCTCTGGGACGGCTTCCTGTCTCCATCAAGCACCCTGAACTGTGGCGATTTGGCCAGCCTACTGTACAAGGAACCACACTGATTGCATGGCCCCCTTTTTTGCCTCCGTCCCTCCAAAAGCTGCACCCTTGGGGGAGTGGGGCCTCGGGCTGCGGAAACTAGGAGAAACCGTGTCCTCTTCTCTCAGCGCTGCTGAAATTTGGGAGGGAGAAACCAAAGCTCAGGGAAGGCATTTTGTGCCGCTGCAGACAAGTTAAACTGCAAGGCTGGCTCATATATATTTAAGGGCAGAGAAAACGTATATTTTGGGGAGGGGGGAGAAACAGAACTCAAGAGAGAGTTTCCGTGGAAGGCCTTCCCGGCCAGCTTTTCCAAGACTTACCCTCGCCAGTCCGGGCCGAACCGGAAGAATGCGGGACTCGGCCCCTGGGGGGGCGGGAGCCTCAAAGTTGCACCCCCCTGGTGACTTGGGGTGACCCGCGGGCCGGCGAGGAGGCTCTGCTTCTCCCGGGGGGTCCTCGCCTGAGTCCGACACCCCTTTTTGCTCTGCAAGGGACTGGGGGGCAAAGGAGAAGAAGAGCCCTTCAGTGCCAGGCAATGGAAGGAGGGAGGAGGGCGCGGGGGGGTGTCCATTGGGAGCCGGGCATCACCGCCAGCATCACGTTCCCGCAGCATCAAGGCCCCACGGCGTCTCCTGTGTTTGGGGCGCTGGGTTTGGTTCTTGGGGCAAGCGGGCCTCCGGAGGTCCTGCTGTCTCCCATCAACCACCCCCCCCTTGAAAAAGAGAGATGAGACCCCGAGGAATCTTTGAGGCCTTATTTACAACTAGCCAGCAGGGTGCTCTGGCTAGCTGTGCTTCCACTGCCGACTGTCGCATTTAAGCTGCGGTTCCTGCATGACACGGGTTGGACTGGATGACCCCTGGGGTCCCCTCAGAGCAGTTTACAAAACAACAACAACAAACCAGTACAGTGGTACCTCGGTTCTCAAACATAATCTGTTCCGGAAGACCATTTGACTTCCGAAACGTTCCAAAACTGAGGCACAAAGGGCTGTCTGCACACAGAAGCCGTTCGAAAACAGAAGCATATACTTCTAGGTTTTTGGCATTCGGGTTCCAAAACGTTCGTCAACAGAGACGTTTGAGAACAGAGGGATCGCTGTACTAAGAAACAATAATTGGCAGGAAAGCAAAAAGTCCTTAAACTGCCACTGATCTCTTTGCAAGGCGGCAGCAACAGACACGGGCCTTTCCAATCGGCTTTCACGGGTCTAGGTTGGGACTGTTTTCCCAAGCGCCTCCTCCCCTGAACTATACGGCCTGAACATGCAGGTCTCTTCCTAGGTCCTTCGGAAAGGCAGAGTATGCGGAATTCGCGCTTTACTATCCTCCTGCCACGTGCAACGACCTTGCAGAGCAGGCTTTGTCTCTGGCATGAATAACACCCATGCGCTGGATAGATTATCACGGCTACTTCACACATCCAGAGCGCCTAAAGAAAATGATATAGCCAGGCACTTATAAGAAGATCAGACTGTCCCTGCCTGTGGGCTCACAATCGAACACGGGAAAAACAGAACTGCACAAGGCGAACTGCAGCAAAGGTTGGTGGCTTCAAAACTGAACACCCCTTCCGATAAAACACCACATTGGCAAGCTATTCAAAACACAACTTTTTTGTAGGAGTGGCTCAGCCGTAAAACCGCCTTAGACGAAAACACACAGACAAAATAATAATATTAAGACTCAGCTCTATGGGCCAGGTACATTTCCACTCCAATTTGACAGAGAAAACACGCAATTCTCAAGTCCAGCAGAAGCCAGCGGATTCTTGGGGCAGCAGAGGCCACCGTGTTTCAACAAACGCCACGGGGCGAAAAACCCAATGGCAAAAAGGAGTTGCAAAGCCGCTGCAAATAAATCAGAGCCCCCGCCCAAACAATTTTTAATCCACCCATCTTATGACTTTCTCAAGTGGCCGACTTGCCTCCAACTAAATCAGCACATGGGTAAAATGAATGGTGGCTCGCAAAACAAGGGGGACGGGCTGCTTTGGGCTTTAAGATCCGGGCCAAGGTAGCTCCCTCAGCCTGAGGGCTGCCTTCCCTTCCCAGGGGCTAGAGGCAAAATCGGGCAGCGGAGCGACTGGCACAAGCAGCGGTTACCTTTGTACAGTAGGCTAGATTTTACGCACCTTTGTGCATGTCCGCCCCAGGATCCGGACGGCCGAGAGGCGCCGTCAGAATCTAAAGACACACCCCAGCCAGCCCCCCACCAAATAAAAAGGTGCAAAGGGTGAGGAGGGGTGTGTGGTTTGGGGACAGCACCAAAGGCCACACTCTCCCTCACTCCTACTTAAGATATGGAGTGGTCTCCGGAGTCAGGCTCACCGGCCGCCTTCCTTACATTACTTTGGGTGCCAGGCAAAACCGTCTCTCTATAGCTGGGCCTTCGTATTTCTGCGGCCTTCTCACGGCTTTGGCAGGACGGGGGGTTATTGGTTTCCTTTTTGTTCCGTTATGTATTCTGCATTTTTTCGTTGTATTTTGCATTTTTTCATTTCCCTGGGATCTCCGGAGGAAGGGCGGTGGGCAAATTGAGCAAGCAAATAAAACACCACATTTTTCGTTCTATAAGATGCACCAGACCACAAGACGCACCTAGTTTTTGGAGGAGGAAAACAAGGAAAAAGATATTCTGAATCTCAGAAGCCAGAACAGCAAGAGGGATCGCTGTGCAGCGAAAGCAGCAATCCCTCTTGCTGTTCTGGCTTCTGGGATAGCTGCGCAGCCTGCATTCGCTCCAGAAGACGCACACACATTTCCCCTTACTTTTTAGGAGGGAAAAAGTGAGTCTCATAGAGCAAAAAATACAGTAAAAACGAATGAGATGGTACGCACACAGACGTGTTGCGGCAGACGTAAATTGTACAAGGCGCGCCGCCCTCCCCTTTTTGCAAGGCAAGGAGCTTTTTATCAAAGGTCTGCATTAAACTACGTCAAACTTTTATTCGTTCTAATGAAAAGAAACCCGCCTCCCCATTTAAGGAGGACCTTTCTAATTGATTGAGGAAAGGCCCAAATTCAAGCTCTGTCGTCTCCCGGTAGGACCCCCCCCCCAACAGTCCCCCCCCTCAGTCACACTGGGTCTAACCAAGTCTGGAGAGCACACTGGAGAGACAACACTGACCCTCTCAAATTGACAGTCGATTCTTAGGCTGAGTCAAAGTGGGGGCGTTTTGTTCTTCCCGACTGAACTAACTGATCCAACCGAGTCCTAACTCTCTCACCATCAACCGCACTCCCACCAAGAGACCTTTTGGGTCCAGTCAAGAGCTCCCAGCCTCCCTCGCAGGGGCCTTGGGAAGAAAACAGTGGAAAGGGGAAGGAAAAACAGGCATGCCACTTTGAGCTCCTAGGACCAAAGGTGGGATATAAATCAGGGGAATAAATAAGGGAGCCATGCCCAGTGTTTGACTAACATGGGATGCACACACCCCACTGTTGTCATATGATTGTCTGCCCTGCAGGATGTAAACGTGAAGACGTTAGCAGGGGGAGACTGGCAAACCTTTCCTTTTCTGCACAGAAACCTTGCTGCCCTGCACCTTCCCAAAGCAGGGATTTCTGAATGTGGGCGCAAGGACCCTTTAGTCCCCCAGAGGCTGAGGAACTACAGCCACCAGCAGCCAGCCCTGTCGCTGTCCAGGGACGATGGCAGCTGTCATTCAGCGGCAAGCGGAGAGCCAAAGGTTCCCCGAACCCTGCTTCACAAAAAGGGGTGCCTGTCCCTCTCAGCCCCCTCACCAATCCTTACCTTCTGGGCTTTTTCCTTCTGAAACACAAAGACAGGAGGGGCGATGGCTGGCTTTTCTGCAGAGAGACCAAAAGCGGAAAGGCACTCGGGTTAACTCAGAACGCACAGCCCGCTGCTGCCTTCACAAATGCACAAGAAGGCTCCACCCATGCTCAGAGGCACTCTCGCCTCCCGGAATTTACTCTGCCTGAACCAGGCTTGGTTTCCCCTTTCCCTACCGGGCTCAGTTCTCTCTGCCTCTGCTGATCCTCTCCTTCCCAGCCTAAAACACCTACCTGCACCAATCTGCGCTATACACAAATATATATATATATGGGAGCAGGAGGGGGCGGCTGTTCTTAATCTGGTCTACTCCTCAGCCCAAGCACCCTCTGCCTATGCTCAGAGGCGCTGCTACCTCTCAACATCTATCATGCAATAGGTATTTATGTGAACCGCCCTGAGACCTTCGGGTTTAGGGCAGTATAGAAATTTAATAATAATAATAATAATAATAATAATAATAATAATATCATTCCCTTGCCGTTTATCTCCATGAGGAAACAGAGGGCAGGCTCCTCCTCCTCCCAACAAGCCCAGGTGCTCTGCCCATGCTCAGAGGTCCTAAAGCGAGAGTCCACTTGCTGGTGCCCCTCTGCCCATGCTCAGAGGCACGGCTCCCCTTTTGCAGCCCTCCCTCCACCGTTTAACCCTTGGCCTGCCTCCCCTGGGGCAAGAACTCTGCCTATGCACAGAGGCACTGCTGCCTCTCAACACCCATCACTCCCTTATTTCACGAGGAAACGGAGGGGCGGGACAGAGGTGGCGACATGCCAGGCTCCTCCTCCTCCTCCTCCAAACAAGCCCAGGTGCTGCTCCACCCAGGCACTCTGCCCATGCTCAGAGGCACTGCTGCCTCTCAACAGCCACCATTCCCTTCTTTCACGAGGAAACGGAGGGGCGGGACAGAGGCGGCCATATGCCAGGCTCCTCCTTCTCCTCCTCCTCCAAACAAACCCAGGGCCCTCCGCCCATGCTCAGAGGCACGGCTCCCCTTCTGCAGCCCTCCCTCCACCGTTTAACCCTTGGCCCGCCTCCCCTGAGGCAAGCACTCTGCCCATGCTCAGAGGCACTGCTGCCTCTCAACAGCCACCATTCCCTTCTTTCACGAGGAAACGGAGGGGCGGGACAGAGGCGGCCATATGCCAGGCTCCTCCTTCTCCTCCTCCTCCAAACAAACCCAGGGCCCTCCGCCCATGCTCAGAGGCACGGCTCCCCTTCTGCAGCCCTCCCTCCACCGTTTAACCCTTGGCCCGCCTCCCCTGAGGCAAGCACTCTGCCCATGCTCAGAGGCACTGCTGCCTCTCAACAGCCACCATTCCCTTCTTTCACGAGGAGACGGAGGGGCGGGCCACACGCCAGGCTCCTCCAGCCAACAAGCCCCGGCGCTCTGCCCATGCTCCGAGGCGCCCTCTCCCCGCCTGCCCGCCCGGCCGCTCCCTTTGTCCGGCCTGGCCGCGCCCTCCCGGGCCGGGCCTGGCGGGGCGGGCGGCGCCTCCTCCTCCTCCTCGGGGCCGGGCGGGCGGCTTCTCCCTCCCGGGCCGCCCCCTCCGCCGGGCCCCGCCGCCCCTCGCCCGCCTCGCCCCCCCCCCCGGCCGCCTACCTTCGTTAGCCAGGTCCGCCATTTTCCTTCCTCAGCCACTCCCCACAATGCCCCGCGCCCAGCCCGGGCAAAAGAGCCGCTCTGCCCGGCCGGGGAGGCGCACGGGGAGCGGGGGCGCATGCGCGGCGTGGGGGAGGAGTCGCCGGGCAACGGCCCGCCTCCTCAGGGGCGCAGGCGCAGAAAGGCCTCATGGAGGCGCCGCGCCCCCTAGCGACCAAAAGGCGGTACTACTGGCGCTTGGGTCTGAATTCAAATACTGCGCCAGACCAGGTTGTTAGATATTAATGCCGCTAGTCCGTATGATAAAGACTCATGGTACCCAACCCCAAAAAACTGTGTTGTTAAAAATTTGTAAATGGAGTTTAATTGATGTTTAATAAAGTTAATGTGAGAGGCAGTGAGAGTTTTTACTTTCTTGGGCTCCATGATCACTGCAGATGGTGACAGCAGCCACGAAATTAAAAGACTCCTGCTTCTTGGGAGAAAAGCAATGACAAACCTAGACAGCATCCTAAAAAGCAGAGACATCACCTTGCCAACAAAGGTCCGTATAGTAAAAGCTCTGGTTTTCCCAGTCGTGATGTATGGAAGTGAGAGCTGGACCATCAAGAAGGCTGATGGCCGAAGAATTGATGCTTTTGAATTCTGGTGCTGGAGGAGACTCTGGAGAGTCCCATGGACTGCAAGAAGATCAAACCTCTCCATCCTTAAGGAAATCAGCCCTGAGTGCTCACTGGAAGGACAGATCCTGAAGCTGAGGCTCCAAGACTTTGGCCACCTCATGAGAAGAGAAGACTCCCTGGAAAAGACCCTGATGCTGGGAAAGATGGAGGGCGCAAGGAGAAGGGGATGACAGAGGACGGGATGGTTGGATAGTGTTTTCGAGGTTACCAGCATGAGTCTGACCAAACTGCGGGAGGCAGTGGAAGACAGGAGGGCCTGGCGTGCTCTGGTCCAGGGGGTCACGAAGAGGCGGACACCACTAAACAACAAAGTCCTTATGATAAAGACTAATGGCACCGAACCCCCCAAAACTGCAAAAAACTGTTATTTAAAATTTGTAAATGGAGTTTAATGGATGTTTAATAAAGTTAATTTGAATTAAAAGAATGAAATGTTCAGCCTCTCATCTACCTCCCCAGCCAGGGAACCACTTCACTGCGTCCGGAAACATCTCGATCACAATCCGCAGTGTGCAATAATAATAATAATTCATTAATTAAATTCCTATCAACCAGCCGGATTTTAATAATCCTCACCTACCTCCCCAGCCAGCGACCCACTTCACTGTTTCCCAAAACATCCAGGGGGCTGCCCCTCTCCTCAAGCACAGCGCCTCCAGCTCATCCCCCTCCTCTGGGCGTCTGGGGCAGGGGAAACCCCCCACCCAGCCCACCCTTGAGTCCCCCTTTATGATGGCGGCGATGACAGTCCCTCTGCCCCCTTGGGAGAAGGGGGAGTCTGGCTGCCGAGCTGGGGCTGCTCTCATCCTTCCCCTCCCCGGTTCCAAGAGCTCCTCTGACTCTGATGGAAACTGTAGGGTTGGAAGGGGCTCCCAGGGTCATCTAGCCCAACCCGCAGGCAAAGGTCCCCTGGCAGAACACCACGCCGCCTCTGTTCATTCATTTATCTCATTTTTTAAAAATTCATTAAATTTCATTTATTTTAGTTTCAAAAAAATATGACTTCCTTCCCCCTTTCTGCGGTTCCTTAAATTAATTTTTTTATAAAAATATATTCTGCGTATCCGAATTCATTTCATCTGCTTAAAATATATATACTCCTATGAAACTGCAGGTCATTACAACTATCCTGCCAGTGTTCTTGTCTGTTGGCAATTTATCTTTCAATATTCAATATTCTTTTATATATATAAAAAGTTGGTTATCTTCGATTTCTTAATCTCCCGGTAGGGTTCGCCTTTTCTGCAAAATCCCCTTTTTCCAGCAGCCGCGACGCTCTAGCCAATTCGCTCTTTCCCCCCTCCAGGAGCCGCGACGCTCTAGCCGGCTCTCTCAATGCCTCTTTCCCCCTCCCCTTCCGGGACCCGCGTTTCCGGCCGCGCCAGGCGGTTGCCGCGGCAACCAGGAAGTGCTGCCCGGCGGGGCTTCCGGTCCGCCGGTCAAAGCGTTCCCCCGGGGTGAGGTTTCTTCTTCCGCCATGGCCGACTCGTTCAAGGCGAAGAAGCTGCCCAGGGGGAAGCGGCGCTCCCCGGAGCCGCACGCCTACGACCCGTGGGGCTGGGGGGACGCCGAGTGGGACTGGGAGCTGCCGCCGCCGCCGCCCCGGGTCTGCTGGGAGTCGGAGAGGCTGGCGGAGAGGGAGACGGCGCCCCGGGGGAGGGGCAAAGGGCGGGGTTCCTGGGGGGCCCGCGAGGAGCCCCCGAGCTGGGCGGGGCCTTGGAGGGGGGCTCGTGGAGGGGGGCGGGGGCGGGATCGGTGGGGGGGAGGGAGCCCCCCCAAGGAGGAGGAGGAGGAAGAAAAACACTGGAGGGGCTCTCGCAGAGGGGGGCGGGGTTTTCGCAGAGGGGGGAGGGGTCCTCGTAGAGGGGGGAGGGGCCGGGATTCGTGGGGGGGAGGGAGCCCCCCTAAGGAGGAGGAAGAGTCCTGGAGGGGGAGGGGCCGGGATCCGTGGGGGGGAGGGAGCCCCCCTAAGGAGGAGGAGGAAGAGTCCTGGAGGGGGAGGGGCCGGGATCCGTGGGGGGGAGGGAGCCCCCCTAAGGAGGAGGAGGAAGAGTCCTGGAGGGGGAGGGGCCGGGATCAGTGGGGGGAGGGAGCCCCCCCTAAGGAGGAGGAGGAAGAGTCCTGGAGGGAAAGGGGTCCTCGCAGAGGGGGGAGGGGCTGGGATCCGCGGGAGGGAGGGAGGCCCCCCAAGGAGGAAGCGGAAGAAGAACCCCCCAGCAGCATCAGGAGGAGGACCCCTTTAGCAGGAGGAGCCGGTGGGGCAGCCGGGAGAGGGAGCCCCCCTCATGGGAGCAGCCGCCTCCAGCCAAAGCCCCCCGGAAATCCCACTGGGGGGCAGCCCCAAGAGGGAAGCGGGGACGCGGGTGCTGCTGACTCCGCCAAGGCAGAGCAGCCCCGAGCAGGGGCCCCCCCACAGGCCGCGGGGCTGGGGGGAGTGGGACTCAGCCAGGCACGGGGTCCGCTCCCCCGGCAGCCCCCCTCGGGGTGGGAGCTGGTGGGGTGAGGCTGAGAGGAGGCGTGGGGAGAGCCCCGGCCGAGAGGAAAGGGGGCGCGGGAGGCAGGCCGAGGAGGGACCCCGGGACGAGGCGCCCTGGGGCGGCTCGGAGCACGGGGGCGTTTTGGGCAGCCTGGAGCGGCTGGCATGGGAGCAGGGTGGGGACCAGTGGAGGAACCCCGACTGGGTCAAGGACCAACCCGCCACCCTCGCCAGGGGCGGAAGCCCCGCAAGGTCCGACCGGCAGCACAGCCAGAGCAGAGACCCCGACGGCTGGGGCAGCTCTGCCAGTTTCCAGAGCGGGTGGGCGGCCGACGGAACCGAGGAGGGCACCCCCGAGATGGAGGAGGAGCTGGGGTGGGACGCTGCCGGAGAGGACGGTGTGCCAGCAGGCTCAGACGGCGCCCACCCCACCCCGCAGGAGTGGACGCCGTGCCAGGAGGTGGTGGACTACTGGACGAGGGCGTGCCGCACCTGCCTGAGCTTCCGCCAGAGGAGGAGGCTCATGTTGTCCTGCCCGCGCCCCACCTTGCCCGACCGGAGCCACGAGACGCCCGCCCTCAACGCCGACATTGCCAGCCTGGGCGTTGCGCCGCAGCAGAGGGCAGATCTGGTCGATGCCCAGAAACTGGGCTGGCTCCAGGACGAGGTTCTGGACACGCTGGCCCCGGCCATGAGCGTCTACGAGATGGCCGAAGAGGCCCTGGAGAAGCGGGCGCCTGTGGACCCCCTGGAATTGCGGGAGTGCGCCCAGCGCCTCCTCCGCCTCCTGGGCAGCCTGAGCGCCCGGCTGACCCTCCAACGCCGCGTCAAGGCCCTGCGCGCCATCAACCCCCGCCTGCAGTCCATCTGCTCCAAGATGACCAGCCGCAATTGCAACGGGATGCTCTTTGGCGAGGACAAAGTCCAGCTCCTGAAGGAGCTGCTGGCCAGATTCCCCCAGCTCACCCAGAACAACACCACCTACAAGCGGACCCGCACTCAGCGCCGGAAGAGCAAGGTGTACAGTGGCCAGCCACCCCAAGGCGCAGGTAAGGCCGCCTTTGCCCGCACCCAAGCCGGTGCCCACCCTCGCCTGACATTTTGGGGCCAACGGGGGTTCAAAAGGTTGGGGGGCGCCAGCTTGGGGATGCCCTGGGCAGCTCCAAAGTTGCGTTGCCTTTTAGCTGTTTAGCACGTGTCCGTCAGCCTCCAAGTCTCCCCGGATGTGGTTGGGCTACAACTTCCAACACCCTGGAGACCCGGCAGGAGGGAAATGCTGGGAGCAGAAACACGTTTTAGTCGGGTGGCGCTGTGGTCTAAACCACTGAGCCTCTTGGGCTTGCTGATCGAAAGGTTGGCGGTTCAAATCCCCGTGACAGGGTGAGCTCCTGTTGCTCTGCCCCAACTCCTGCCAACATACCAGTTTGAAAGCATGCCAGGGCAAGTAGATAAAGAGGTACTGCTCTGGTGGGAAGGTAAACGGTGTTTCCATGCGCTCTGGTTTCCGCCATGCGCCAGAAGCGGTTTAGTCCTGCTGGCCACACGACCCGGAAAGCTGTCTGTGGACAAACACCGGCTTCCTCGGCCCGAAAGTGAGACGAGCGCCGCAATCCCATAGCCGCCTTGGACTGGACTTAACCGTCCAGGGGTCCTTTGCTTTTACCTTTTAAACGCCGAATAGCATATATAAGTTTGAAAACCCACTTTGACAAGAAGCGAAGAAGAGCGTGCCAGCTGTGTGGAAGAGCTCTGTGGATTTCCAGTAGGCCTCCCTCACCCCAGAGTGCCTGGGGCTCCTTTCTTTAAGACGCCTTGGCTAGCAGTAGCCAAAGGCACTGAGCCCTGTGGCCCGTTCCATGGCGGTGCTACTCCTTGTGTCTTAACTGGAGTCCTTCTTCGTTGCTAAGCCTTCTTCCACAGGTGGCTTAGCTGGCCACTGAGAGGACCAGCTGTTTTTAATTTTTTCAGAGAGGAAGGGGCATGTTCCCTCCCGCTGAACAGCCAGGGGAACTTTATTTTTTTGCCCCACAGCTTTGGGGAGACAAGCATCTCCTCAGTTATCAGGAAGACCAAAACAGGGTCTTTCCTGGAATCAAATTCCAAGCCGTATTATTATTATTAAGGGACGCAGGTGGCGCTGTGGTCTAAACCACTGAGCCTCTTGAGCTTGCTGATTGGAAGGTTGGCAGTTCGAATCCCTGCGATGGGCTGAGCTCCCGTTGCTCTGTCCCAGCTCCTGCCAACCTAGCAGTTCAAAAGCATACCAGTGCAAGTAGATAAATAGGTACCGCTGCGGCGGGAAGGTAAACAGCATTTCCGTGCGCTCTGGTTTCCATCACGGTGTCCTGTTGTGCCAGAAGTGGTTTAGTCCTGCTGGCCACGTCCTGGGAAAAGCTGTCTGCGGACAAAGGCTGGCTCCCTTGGCCTGAAAGCAGAGATGAGCAGCGTGACCACAGAGTTGCCTTGGACTGGGTCCTTTACCTTTTACCTACCATTAATTATTATTATTATTATTATTATTATTATTATTTACATCTTTACCCAACCTTTTTCGCCAAGGAACTCAAGGTGGTGGAATGCTATGCTTCAAGGAGGAGTTCCAGCAGACGGACACCATCTCACAAGGTGAGCTCCAACCCACACAAATGATCACCATCTTGTATTAGGTGCTAGGAGCTGAGATATATGAACTAGGCACCAAACGGCTCCTTAAACCAAGTTGCCAAAAGGGAACGTGCAGTTGCTCTTTTTTTATGCCAGATGGCTCCAAAGTCTTAATTTTCAAATGATGGCCTGGCACTGATTGATCCAGTTAAACATTGTGCTGTGGTCTAAACCACTGAGCCTCTTGGGCTTGCCAACCGTAAGGTCAGTGGTTCGAATCCCCGCGATGACGGGCTGAGCTCCCATTGCTCTGTCCCAGATTCTGCCAGCCTAGCAGTTCGGAAGCACACCAGCGCAAGTAGATAAACTGCGGTGTTCGGAAGGTAAACGGTGTTTCCATGCGCTGGTTTCTGTCACGGTGTCCTGTTGCGCCAGAAGCAGTTTAGTCTTGCTGGCCACATGACCCGGAAAGTTGTCTGTGGACAAAGGCCAGATCCCTCAGCCTGAAAGCGAGATGAGCACCTTGGACTGGACTTAACCGTCCAGGGTCCTTGACCTTTTTCCTTTTTCCGTACTTCTTTTTCTTAGTGGTGACACAGACCACTAATAACGTAGGAATATTCTTCACAACGGTGAGCAGGGGGAAGCGAAGGCAACAATGCGCTCTTAACGCCATTCGCCGCTCCTGCTGCCCAGAAAAAGCATTTTGGTTCCAGAAATTCAAAATCTAACTGATAAAATTCTACAGGATCTGGGTGTTAGCGTGTGAAAGCAGTCCAGATCTGGGGATCCCCATATGACTATCGCAGGCGGCAAAATGCACATGGTGAATTTCGAACGCCAATCAGGGATAGCGAGTTCGTGATTTGCCCACACAAAGTCTGGGGGTTCAATCCCAGGTTTGGGGTTTCCTTTTGCAGGTTGAGGTGGCCGACTCTCCTTCGCTGCCGGGTTTTAGGCAGAAGTTGGAGGGCTCTCTGCCATGGGCTGGGCTAGATGACCGCTGGTGCCCCTTCCCCCTCTACAGCTCTGTGATTCTGTTATTCTAGGTATCTGGGCCGGCACAGAATCCCTGCCTGAGACCCAGCAGGACCATGCGCTGAACTGGTCCGACTTCGGTTCCTGATCGGTCGGGGACGGGGCGGCGGAAAAACCAATGGTGCCCGCTTGCCAAACTCCCCCCCCCTTTTCTCAGGGGCTTAACTGGCCCCACAGACACCCAGAAGGAATCCCCCTCTTACCAAGGGCAGAGGGAACTATTTTTGCAACAGAGAGGGGGAGCAGAGGGGCCAGGAAGCCGGAAGCGGACCGTTCCTCTCGACGGAAGAGACTCCCCCCCCACTTGCCCCCCCTGCCTGCTCAAGAGTCTGTCCCTTGGCGAGCCAAGCAGGGCCACCATTGAGCAGTTGGGGGGCCACAGGGCAGAATGGAGCCAAGAAGACAACACTTTTAAACACGACTCTCCCAATCCTCTCTTGACTCTGCAGCGAGACTGTCTGCCCCCCACCCGGGGGGGCAAGCTCAAGCAGGGGCGTTTTATTGCAAGCCCCCCCCCCTCTGTGTGAAAGGCCTCTTGGTTTTCAGAGAGAAGACATAGCTTCCTTCCATTACAAGAAGAGTTTTTTCTCCCAACGGTGCAAAACTGTTTCTGTTTGAACTTGATTTTTTTGTCGTTGACTATTTTCTGTGTTTTTTTGCGGGGGGGGGTGCTTGCTGGCAGCAGGAAAACCCAGACCCCTCCTTTTTGAAGGCCTTTTGCCTCGCAACAGAAGGGGGCAGCCTTTTCAACTCTTGGGCTTTCCTGTTTTCGTTCGCTGATGGAGGCGTCTTGTGGCAGGGAGTTCCAGCTGGGCTCATATATTTTTTTGCCTACTTCCCCCCTCAAAAAAAAGTTTTCGCCTGGGGGCAGGAAACAGACCCATGGGACTTTTTTCTTTTTTGGCCGATGGTTTTCCTGTGTCGGATCTTTGGCGGACTCTCTTTTTTTCCTCCTCCAACCGAAATCGGCTGCTTGGCTGAAGAAACCACGTCCCGACAGCTGAGGTCCGAGAGGAGGACCCCCCCCCCCAGGTTAAGAGGACCACGTTTGCTCTGTTCCCTGAAGGGCGTGTGATGGATTCCTGCAAAGAGTGTCCCGGGGAACCAACCGATTCCTTAGCAACCGAAGCGGCGATCGGAACCGGAGCAAGAGCTTGGAAGTCTGTTTCTTGGGGACCTTCTCTAGTTGAATAAATGTTCTTTTGTCTTCACAAGCTGTGTCTTTTCAGTTAATGCTTCCCCATCGCACCAGGAAACACCAATTAAGATAGAAACATAATAAAAAACGCACATTGGAATCAGGGCTGTCGTTTTGGGATGTTGGAAGAAGGATGAGGGGCAAAGGGGGCGTTTGCCTATGAAACGATTAAGCGTCTCGCCTGGAATTGGCCTGCCTGTCTCTGAGCTTCCCTGTATTTTCTTTTTCTTTTCTTTCTGTTTTGAAATAAATTCTTCTTGGTTTTACAAATGCAAAATATATACAAACACAAACTGCAAAAACAAATCGGTATAAAAGGGATTCTCCCCATCTCCTCTTCCTCTCCATGGGGTCCCATTTTAAGCATCTAAAACTGCATATTCATCCAGACGCCAATTCTTATACCAGGCCATATTATCCACAATAATTTTGGCACTACAAGGGAGTCAAAATCCTGCTCTTGTTTCCATCTGCTTTCAGTGGCCTCCTAAAAGCCTTATAAATTATTTTATAAAGTTTTTATCCTCTTTGTCTCATGAGGTTTCCAGTCAGTTTTTCCATCTCGGCATAGTCTCTGGTAGGGACTTTTATCTTCTTTCCAGTTCTGGGTTAATAACATCTGGGCGGCCGTTGTTCCATACACGAAACTGTAATTCCGAATAAAAAACCACCTTCTGGTTTCTTAACAAAAGTTACATTAAACAGAGCTTCCCTGCATTTTCAAGCCATAAAAGCCCCTTTTGTGGAATGCCCGAAAGATTCCTATTGGGACCCAAAAGAGAGAAGGGGAGGGAGGAAGAAAGGAGTATAAAAAGAGAGAAAGAGGGAAGGGAAAGGAAAGGAAAGGAGGAAGGAAGGAAAAAAGATAAGAGAAGGAAATAGAAAGAAGGAGAGGGGAGGGAGGGAAAGGAAAGAAAAAGAGAAAGAAGGTAAAAGATAGAGAAGGAAAGAGAAGGAAAGGGGAGGGAGGAAGATAAGAGAAAGAAGGAAAGGGGAGGAAGGAAGGAAGATAAAAGAGAAAAAAGAGAGAAAGGAAAGGGGAGGAAGGAAGGAAGAGAAAGAAGGAAAGGGCGGGAAGATAGGAAGATAAAAAAAATAGAGTGAGGAAAAGGAGGGATGAAGGAAGGAAGATACAGAAGGGAAGGAGGGAGGAAGATAAAAAGAGATGAAGAAATAGAGTGAGAGAAAAGGGAAGGAGGAGGGAGGAGGAAGGAAGGAGGAGAGAGAAGGAAAGGGCAGGGAGGAAGAGAAGGAAAAGAGGAAGGAAGATAAAAAGAGAAATAGAATGAGAAAGGAAAGGGGAGGAAGGAGGGAAGATAAAAAGAAAAGAGAAAGGGAGAGAAAGAGAAGGAAAGGCAAGCAATTTGTCCCTGAGCGGCGGCGTGGGTTCTGGGCAGGGACCTGCCTTTCCCTCTGGCGCCGCTGGGGGCGCCCTCCCTCCCCGCCTCCCGATCTCGCGACAGTTGCCTCAAGATGGCTACAAGGTAGCAGCAGCTGGGCCGCCTTGGAGGCTGCGAGAGGAGGAGGAGGAGGAAGGCAAGGACCAGCGGGACCCCCGGCCCCCGAGATGGTAAGGCTCTTTTGGCCCCCTGGGCAAGGTCGGGGGGGGGGGAGGTCCCCTTTGAACCCCCTCCTCTCCTGGAGGGGCCGCAGCGATTGCATAATAACAATGCCCAGAGCCAGACACGCGAGTTGGGCCCGTTCACACGTGCACAGGGGGAGCGTGGAGCCGGGCAGGGAAAGGGAGACGTCGCTGCACAGAATATACAAAACCGGCTTGCAATGTTAGGCCCATGCTGTCTGCACTGGCCGGCAGCTGTCCCCAGGATCCGAACCCGGGGCCTTCTGCATGCCAAGCACCCGCTCAGAATAAACCCAGGTTTCCAGGGGTGGGAAGAAAGGGCTGGTTTTAATTCAGAGATGCCCCCCGAGCGGCTTCACTGCGCAAGGCAGGTGCTCTAACCACTGAGCCTCACAGCCCTTGTCTGAATTTCAACAGCTGATTTATACAACTTTTTACTGGGGTGTTTCAGCTATAAATATGGTGTGCATGTGGGATTATTGTTTTGTTGTTTTGGTTTAATTATTTACTTTTGTTTGAAGGTTGGTCTATGAATGTTCATAGTAGTAATAATAATAATAATAATTTATTATTATACCCCACTCATCTGGCTGGGTTCCCCCAGCCGCTCTGGGCGGCTTCCCAGCAAAATATTAAAATACAATTAATCAAAGATTAAAAGCTTCCCAACTTGTTTTGTTGTTTTCGTTTATTACTTTTGTTTGAAGGTCGTGTATAAATTTTCATAATAATAATAAGAATAGCAATAGTAACATAAGATAATATTTTGCCTGAACACAACTGCCAGCAATATTTGAGTGCAGGGCATGTTCTGTAGACAAAAGCCCTACAAATCTTGGCTCGTCTTCCTCCAGCGAAGGGGGCTTTTGGGACACGCCCTACCTTGCCAAAGCTGTTGTGGACTTTAATATATATATATATATATATAATATATATAATATATATATATATATGCTTTCGTAGATTTTCACGGGTACAGGAATGCAGGTTTGGTGTCTTCGGGTGTCTCCCGTGTAAAAGTTGGGGTTCTAGGCGACGTTTCGACGAGGTCTCACTCGTCATCTTCAGGCTGGTGCTTTCGGCTTCTTGTTACTGGAACAGAGCTCTGTTGATGACGAGTGAGACCTCGTCGAAACGTCGCCTAGACACCCCAACTTTTACACGGGAAGACACCCGAAGACACCAAAACCTGCATATATATATATATATATATATATATATATATATATATATATATATTCAAATGTCAAAAAAAAGGCCTGCATGTTGGTTAGCAGACATCAGTGCTGATGACTGAAGGCTGCCAGGGGAAAAATAAAACGAAAGCAGCTTTTTGAGACAAATTTTGGCTTCTCGTTCGCCGCCAAAGAGTTCCCGTTTCTGCAGTTTTGCAAAAGAACCCGCTTTTGAGAGGTAGATTCTGATTTTGGTTGCATGTTCCCCTCAATCCTCTAAAGGCCCATCATCATCATCATCATCATCATTTTGTTGGCACTGTCTCTTCCCCCAGATAAGAGCCCAAGATCAAGAGCAAAACCCCCGCCTGTCTGAATAGGGAATCGGGTCAGCCAGAAAAACCCGATGTCCGCTTGGCGTCCAAAAATCAAACCCGGCCCAACTTCTTCAAATATCCCTTTAGCCCAGAAAGGCTCTTTAGATGGTTTATCAATCTGCTATTTTATAATGGCTTTGCTCTTCATGATTTGATCTCACCACCGCTTCCCCGCAAGAGCTGCAAAAAGTGGATTAAAAAACCCCAACGACCAATTTTTAAAAACCCAAATAAAGGAATATATTGTGACTGTAATGAATTCACTGTAAAGGGGGGGGATTCACTCTCAATCAATTCAAGAATGCAAAGAAGCAATCTTCCCTCTCCTATTTGGGATAATAATAACCAGCTGCCCCCTTTCACCCCCTCCGGCCAGGAGAAGATGCCGCCACCACCTGCTGCCCCACTTGCACCCCAAGACCTCCTGTCGTCCCCCCCCAACCGCGCCAGGAGCAAAGCGGAGAAGGAAGAGGGGCCCCCGCCACTGGTGACCTCTCCCGTGGCCTCTTTGGGGGGTGAGTAGGGGCGGGAAATCAGGCCTATTCCTCCCCCCCAAAAAAACAAAGCCAACTTTCTAGTCCTCATGAAGGCACAAGGAAGTGGCCTTGGTCCATGTTGCTCTGTACTGCTTGCACGGACCGGCAGCAATTTATATGGGGAAGGGGGGGATGTGGAGCTGGGGGGGGGGCTTTCGCAAGCCCAGCAGGGACCCTGCCGCGATCCACAGCCCGGAGGGAGCCACCAATGACGTCTCTTCTTCCTAGGCCCGGCCAGTTTGGGGGTTTCGGCGACCCACAGCCACCCCACGCCGAGTGGTGGGGGGCGGAAGCAGGACCTGCGGCTGCCCAAGAGGAGACCCCCAGGTGAGCTGGAGGCCGGGGCGGCCCTTCTTAGCGGGGGGGGGGGCGCTAAGGAATGGGGCACACAGGGCCTCGTTTGGGGGTGGCCCCCTCTCCTTTCTCCCCAAAGGTGGGGCCGAGAACCTTGCCCCTCCTCCCCGGCTCTGCTGCACAACATCCACATTTTCCCAGGCTGAGAGCTTTGCCTACGTTTTCCTCCGGCCCCCCACCACTGCCAAGCGGCCCTTGGAAGATTATCCAGGGAGGGGAACACGGCCCTCGCGCCGAACAGGATTCCCAGTTTCCTATGGATCCTTTCGGTCGATGTGTCTTTTGCCCTAGAGAGGACGTGTGTCGGTTGTTCCCATTTCACAGAAGGGGAAAATAGAGGCACAGGGCTACGAGCTGCTCCAGGCGGGGCTGCCAAGGCCTCTTGAATCGTAGAATAATGGAACTGTATTGTTGGAAGGGGCCCCCCAGGGGTCATCCAGCCCAGCCCCCTTCAGCTAATTCTCTCGCCTCGCCCTAGGGAGACGCTACCAGTGCTCTGGGGACGGCTGCCGCTTGGCCTGCCGCAGCATGAAGGAGCTGCTGGATCACATTCGGGTTCATTATCGGCCCACACAGTCGATGGAGGGTAAGCCCGGTTTGGGGGGGGGGAGGGTTGGCGAGAACTCGAATCCGACTCCGAGCTGCCTTTGCTCCCTCGCACTTTCCACCAGAGTAACCATTTTTGGGGTGTGTGTAAAGTTTTTTCATTTTTTAAATGTAAATACAACAGAGAAAAATTTGTAAGGTGAAAAGCATGGCTATTGAAATGGGCTTGTAGAAGGAATGAGCCCAGCTGCCTCTCCTGTTCCCCAGGGAAGATTTTCCGCTGTTCCTCCCCGGGCTGCGTGGAATCGTTCCCCAACATGCAAGTTCTCATGGAACACATCAAGGTGCACTACAAGCCCAACCGCTACTTCAAGTAAGGCCATATTCTTATTCTGATGATGATGAAGGGCAGGATCTAGAGGGGGCCAAGTAAATCTACTCCCAAAGCTCAGGGGTTTTTTTCTGGTATTTTATGCATTGTGATTTGCTATTTCTATCCATCACAGAAGAGTCATTCTTTATTATAATACATGTATACTGTCTAATTAATTACTTGCTGGCGTTTGATTTTAGTATTTACTATGGGGTTCTAATGCATTATTGCACATAGCATTATTTGGTATAAGCTGTTTATTTTAAAGTCATTGTGACTTTTTATATAGGATCCGATTGTTGTGGTTTGATGTTTTATTATTAATTTTGTGTGTGTTGGAAGCCGCCCAGAATGGCTGGGGCAATTCAGCCAGGTGGGCAATGTAATAATAATAATGATGATGATGATGATGATGATGTCAGGAGCTGCCCGAAGGCGTGGGCGATGGAGGCCCCCCCCCCCGTACACCCGTTTCTCAATCCTCCCTGTTTGGAGCAGCTGGGATTGAGCCGCCAACCTCCAGAATCAAAAGATGGGTGTAGCGTGTGGGAACGGGCCCTCCAGAGGTCCTCCATCCCACCCCCCTGCAACCTGTCCCCCCCTCCAGGTGCGAGAACTGCATGACGCGTTTCCGGACGTACCGGTCCCTCTTCAAGCACCTCCACAGTTGCTCCTCCGCCGGAACCGCCGCCGGTGCTGCCGCCGCCGCCGCCGACACCCCGCCCCTGGCACCGGAGAAGCCCCTCCCGGAAAAGGAGCCCCCCGGGAAGCTGCTGGAGGTCCTCCCCAAACTGCAGACGGTCATACAGCAGCTCAGGAAGCCAGCCATCCTCCCCGGCCAGATGGAGGCCCCGCCGCCGGTCCCCGACCCGCTCCCTGCCGGCCCCCTGGGGCCCTTGCCTGCCCTGCCCCCGGGGCCCCACGCCTTTCCTCTGCTGGAGCCCTCCCTCTTCGGACCCCCGCCACCCCTGGCCAGGTTTCCAGGGCCGGCTCCCCACACGCTCCCGGGACCCTTCCTGCCTTACGTCCATCCGGGGAGCTACGCCTTGCCTCCCGCCGCCGTCCAGAGCCGCCTCCGTCCCTTCCTGCCGGGACAGGGACTCCCCATCTCCAACGCCGTCTGGAAGAAAAGCCAGGGTGAGCGGAAGACCTTTCCCCCCCCCGCCCCAGGAGGGTCTCTCTGCCCCCCCCCACATCGTTACCTGTCTGCCAGTCCAACGATTGTGCCCCATTTGCTCAGATTTGAGATGGCCCTAATCCAGGTTTCTAGTCCTCCTGACTGCACCAGGGGGCGGGAATACTTGAGAGGTTTGGGAACTGCCCTTAAATGTTTCACTCTGACGGCAGGGCGCTCTCTGGAAGGATCCGCTTGATTCGGAAGCTGCAGTCAGACAAGATGCTGCAGAGAAAGTGCTTTAAGCAATAACAGGCCACACATGGCTCATAATGTTCTAACAAAATACATGTAATCTGTATTATTTCACAATTCTTAAACCATGGGTAGGGAAACTAAGGCCGGATCCAACCCACTCACCTTCTCAATTACATGAGAAGAATGTGTCCTTTTATTTCAAATGCATCTCTGGGTTATTTGTGGGGCATAGGAATTCATTCATTTTTTTCCTGGCCCCCCACATGGTCTGAGGGACAGTGGACCAGACCCCTGCTGAAAAAGTTTGCTGACCCCTGATTTAAATCAATTTGATTTAAATCAAATCCACCCTGGAGAGAAACCTCCCCAGATATTCAGGAAGCTGGCGCAGGTTTCCATCTCCTCTTAAGCGTATTTGTCCGCTTGCTCCGGGGCTAATCCTTCTCTTTTTTGGCGCCCCGCAGGGCACTCCTCCAACAGCCGCATCGTGTGGGAGCACACGCGGGGGCGCTACAACTGCCTGCAGTGCTCCTACTCGACGGCGTCGCGGGAGGAGGTCACCCAGCACGTCGAGGACCACCGCAAGAACCCCTCCCCGCCCGGGCGCCTGGACGGAGAAATGGGTGAGTGGGGGGCTGGCGGGGGACCTCCCCTTCGTCCCCGGCACCTGGGGTGGCACAGGAGGTGGCTGGGTTGCCTGGCAGGCGCGGGGGACCCCTGCTCAGGACTACAGCTCCCGTTACCCCAGGAGTTGTAGTTTGGCAGCGCCCGGTTTCCCCAAATCCTACTCAGAGCAGAGCCCAGGGGTCTACTTGAGTTTGGCCAATGCTGGGATGTAACATTGGACACTGAGAAGGTTGAGCTACAACTCCCATCAGGCAGAGGTGAGGAGAACTGTAGTTTGGCAGCGGCCGGAGGGGCAAAGGTTCCCCAACTGTTTCTCACTGACCTGGCTATGCGCACTGGGAGTTGTAGTCCAACCATCTCTAGCTGGGGAGCGCCCAGTTTAGCCAAGGTGGTTTGACTCCACCTGTTGGGTTTTTTTTTGCAGTTTTTATCAGTTCTGCGTTTCTGCAACAGACAAGTTTTGCTTTGTGATGGATTTTGAATGTCCCTTAAAAACAACAACTGACGCCTCCCCCCCGTTTTCCTCTTTCCTCCACCAGACTTTGGGGTGGGGCTCCCCTCGTTCCACCCCCGACTGACGCCGGAAGTGGAGAACACCCTCTTCTCCCCGCTGTGAGGCTTCCACGGTGCTGACCCCCCCTCGTTTTGTCACCATCTTCATCCCCCCTTTTAAGGTGCAGTGAGGATGGTGGGGGGGGGGTCCTGGCTCCTCCCACCCCCCACCCCCCCAAAAAAGGGGTAGAGGGTGCAGACACCCCCAGGAGGTCTTTCCTCTCCAACCCCCCACAGAATGCGTGCGCATAAATGGATGGTGTTTGATGGGAAGGGGGTTGAAATTTAATTATTGTTGATATTAATTTAATCTAGAACTTTTTCCGGTGCATTCTTCTTCCCTCTTTTTTCTCCCCTCCCCCCAAAAAATGGTTTCTCTTGCTTTAAAGGCAAAATGCTCATCCCCCCCCCCGTTCTCTTGGTGAGGAGACCTCCAGCCCCTCCTTCCCTAAAGCCGATGATCAGGTTTGCTCAGGTTTGTTATAGTGGGCTATTTGCTGCTTTTGCAAAAAAACACAAAAAACCAGAAATAAAATGGGGATTGTACAGAAAACGTGAGCGAGCCTTCTTGTCTTGAGGTGTGTCTTTTGAGTCCTATTTTCAAAGGGGGGGCAGTGACAAAGGCAAACAAATACACCTACCTCTTGCCGGTGGGGGGTGTGTGTGTCAAGGAGCATTCTTTGTTTTTTAAAACCCCCGTTTTGTTAGATCTAAGCAACCCTCCCCACCCCTCTACTCACACACAGAGAGAGAAACTGCTCAGGATTCAAGGCAACTTCCGCCAGCAAAAACACAAGCAGGATTTTGGGGTGGTGTGGAACTGCGGAGTGAGGTCTGCAGTGGGCAGCGCCCTACTCTCTGCTCCTGCAGGCATGAAGGCGGGAGCCCACAAGTGCCCCCCACAGCCTTGGCCAACTCCCAGAGTTCAGGGAGGCGCCTCCGTCCCGCTGCCAAGAACAACTCGGACTCCCTTCTCCTCTCTCAAAAAAGTGCACGGTTTTAATATGAACAACGATGCATCTCGTCTCCTTTTTGGTCTCTGTTCAAAGCGTTATTACAAAAACAACAACAAAACACAAACCCAACAGTTCTTGTAAACCACTTGGAAAGTCGTCAGACAGGACGGAGGAAGGGGATGCGAAATGGAAAATGGGGGGGCGTCTCTCTGCCCCCCGACTCCCCTCCGAGGGGTCCGGTCGGAGTCTGTCGGGAGAAAGGGTGGGCAAGGCACCATGGACTGGGGAGGAGGAGGAGAAGTGCTAAGGCCGGTTCCCCAGGCTGCTCACAATCGCCAGCTCCTTTTCCGAGGACGGGACTCATCCGTAGGCAGAGGGGCAGGAGAACTTTCCTTGTGGGGCAGCTCTGGAGCCAGGCTTGCCAGAGACCTGCTGGTGACCCAGAGAATCAGGAGGGTGGAGGAGATGTCCAGCCAGACCCCGGGTCCTGGGGTCCAGGGCTGCAGAGAAGCGGCTGGAGCTTGGCAGTTCACAGCAGTGGCCCTTCCTGGAGCAGCAACAGCAGCAGCGGCGGAGGAGGCGGCAGCTCCCGCCCGGAGGCAGAAGGGGCGGGGGGCAGTCTTGCCCCGGCGGGGAAGACCAGGGTGCTTGGCGATCCGGCCGCGTCTTTGGCAGGTGGGGGGAGGCACCGGGCGCAAGGGGCTCACCGCTTCCTTCAAAGAGAGAACGGGGGGACAAGGGGCTGTGAGCAGCCGGCGCCATCCAAGAAATATCTCAGAAACGACGGGCAGGGTGGCACAGCACCGCCCAGTGGGTGGCTGGAGGGGGTCTCGGTGGCAGGGCCTGAGAACGCCCCCTGCCTAAAATCCCAGCCAGTGTGGGCACCACTGGGGCACCAGAAGGCATGAGGACCAGAATTGTGTTCCTGTTTGAAGGGGAGGCGGTCAGGGAACGTCCCAGCTCCAAACCCGGGGCAGCGCCATGTTGGTGAAGGGAAGGGCTCCTCCTGCCTGCGGACGTCTGCTGCCAGCGCTGGGCCAAGGGGGTGGGCTCAGTCGGAGGCAGCTTCCCCAGAAAGCATAAGCAGGCACCTTAATACTGGCTGTCGGGGTCCGGGCGGCCCCCTCGCTCCTCCAGCAGGCTCTCGGTGCTGGCCGACGTCTCCGAGTCCAGGTTCTCCTCGTCGGAGCCCCTCTGGTCCAGCTCTGGCAATCGGTAGGTGATGTCTTCCCTGTGGAAAAAAGTTCCCCTCTCTCATGCTAGATCTTGTGGGACGCCCAGATTGCTGCCCCTGAAATGCCAGGGCAGCTGGGAGGGAAACTCCTCCTCTGACTCCCAGCCAACCCCCCCCCGCTCCCCCCTTGGGTGTCCCCCCCACTCACTTCTCCTCCTTGATCGACTGGATCCTCTCGATCAACAGCTCTTTCTCCCGGTTGTCCGTCTCCTCTCCCTCCGGGATAGCGCCCAGTTTCGGCGCAGTGCCATCGTCTGACCCAGCCTCCGGGGAGCCTTTGCTCTGCAAGGAATTGGGGGGGGGGTGAGAGATAGCAAGGTCTGGTGTCTGTTCTGGAGGCAAAGGGGCCTTCAAAGCCCGTCCAACCGAAAAGCCTCCTCCAGGGTTGCAATGAGACACGAAGCAGCACCATTTGGGTGGGCAATTTGACGCTTGCCGGCTTTTCCCAGGTGGCAAAACCAACCGGTGCAGTGCGGAAAGGGTGCTGAGGAGGAAGGAGGATGATTCGGGGGCAGCGCAGGTAAACGGGCCACTCTTGGGTCTACCTCACAGGGCTGTGGTGAGGATGAACTGGGAGGAGAACCCCAAAGGTTTCAGTAGCCTCACAGCCTGCTCCAAGCTTCCTATGTATCCAGGAATGTTTGTTTTTATACACCGTGAGATGGGGGGACGGGACGCCCGACACAGCTGCTTCTGCCCATGTGCAAAGAACCTTCTTCCCTTGCCACCAAGCAGACACAAGCCAGCCAGCGTATGCTACTTTAATTATAATAAAAGGCACATATATATGACTATATATATGAATAGAGCGTCAGGTGTTAGTGTGAAATCCTTTTTTTAAAAGAAAGAGTGGGGGTGACTTCCAAGGCAGCCCTGAGAAAACTTGCAGCAGTTTCTATTTTCTGAAAGAGAAGCATAGCTTTACAACCTCCCCACAAACCACAATTGGCACACGACTGTTGTAACTGGGGATACATGCAGCCACGCAGCATGCGGCGGAGTTTGGAAGGGTACAGGTTGAAAAACAAAACGGCTCTGAAAAGTCGCCTTTTCTGGCTTTGGGGGTCATGCTGTGTGGCCGTCCAAGAGAAAGCGGGGGACACACACCAATTGTCATGCACTGAGAGAGTGTCTACCTACCGGCGCTCCCTTGCGGGGAGAGGAAAACCCAAGTTTTACAGGCCATAGCTAGAAAAAGGGAGAAAGAGACGATGGCCACACTCAAACACGTCAGAGGCGCACACTTTCTTTCCGGACTCTCCTTGAATCAATTGCAAAATTGTTGGCGTGGTCTTGGTGGCCTGCCTGCTGCAGCAATTGCAACGTGCTGTGCTAGACGCAGGACGATTTCCAAATCTATTCCCGCGGCTCCTTTCGTTTCTTTCCCCGCAGAATTCAAATTGCAACAGGCGCACACAAAGATGTGATAGTGGGAACGAAGGAAACATTTTTACTTTGTTTACTCCCAATGCTGTTGTTGCAATCTGAATCCCAGAGAACTGAAACAGGAGCACAACAAATTACAAAAAGGAGCAATAAAAACACAATGAAAAACTAGTCATGACGCAGGTGTACTGCAGAGCAGGGATCCCTGGCGGTGGGGAACACCTGCCCTGATCCAACCAATCCGTGTTGTATCCCAATCAGTTACGCTCCGAGTAAACCCACTGACATGAATGGAGCTAAGTTTGTCACGTCCATTTATTTTAACGGGTCTCTTCTAGGGATGTCACACCAGGAAGTGCGTTATCTTAATAAGCTTTTGGCAGGGTTTTCTATTTGTAAATTTGGGCCTGACTCTGCTGCAGGGCTCTTTGGATGTTCTGAACTCCAGGAGGGGGCCAGCGGACGTGCCCGCTCAGACCAGCAGCTCCTTTTTGGGACTGGCAGCGGCTCACACGTCACAGGCCACTTCCCCACCCTGCCAGGCAATCCACAGCTTACCGAGTTCTGCCTCAGCAAGGAGAGCCGTCGGAAGGCGATGCTCTCGGCAGCCTCCAGCTGGCAGATCTCATCCATCTTCACCTTGTACTTCCGCATCTGCTCCTTGATGATCATCTCCACGCAGCTGGGGGCAGAGGAGAGTGAGAGTGAGGGCGAGAGGCTGGCGGGGAGCAGAACCCCCCTCAAGAGACCTCTGGTGGCGTGGGTGGGAGAGGAAGGGGAGGGGAGGTGTACATGGGAGGGCAGAGGAGACCCTGCATTCTCTGTGTGGGTGGGTGGTCACAGGCAAGGGGCACACAAGCCAAGCTCCGTTGGCTCATCCTCCCCCTTCCAGGAGGGACTGATCCAGGCTCTACAGCCTCACAGGAGGGAGGCAGCTGGGTCACAAAAAGGAAACCAGTTCCCAGCGCAGGAGCACCTGTAGGGGAGGAGCGGGGCTGGGTCTCTACTCGTGGGGCAGCAGCTCACGAAAGGCCTTGTGGGAGCAAAGGAGGCGAGAGGACCCTCCCCTGCCAAGCGTCTGTGAGCGCTGCTCCACCTGCCCCGCTAATCCCAGGCCCAGCTTCCCCAGGGCTCACTCACATGGTGGTTTTTGAGACGTCCTTCATGCTGGTGAGGGGGTCCGAGGTGTCGGGGCAGCGCAAGAGGCAAGGGGCGAAGACGATGGCCAGGGCGTTGGGAGACATGCGGTTGAAGTCCTCCACTAGAGCGACCCTGTGCCACACACAGAGAGAAATTACACATTGGAAAAGAGAGAGAAAGGACACATTGACGGTCCCTGTGGATGCTGCCAGCATCTTTTGCTGGCCCCAGAGGGAGGACAATGCTGTCTTAAGGGGTCACTACTTTGCTCCCGCCTTGGAAACGCATCTCCCTCCTCGCCCTTCTCCCTCCCCTCCCTCTTTCCTCGTGTGCCTGGTTATTTGAGTTCTGCAAGCCTGACGCTGCGACTCCTCTCTCGTTTAGAAACCCATGGTTAGCGACTTTGGAAAAGGATCGTCCGAAAAGCAGGACAAACACAAAGTCAGTGACATCCCTCTCGGGATTTCAGCTGCGCATGCAAATATTGTGGAGCTGTGGCTTCAAAGCTACACACGGGGGGGGGGGGGGAATGTGGAGCATGTGGGGGGCACGCTGTGTCCTTACTTGACCAGGTGGAAGACCAGTCGCTCCAGAGTGTCGTGGTTGGCCTGCGGGAGCTGCTCCAGGACGCTGTAGATGGTGCAGAGCTGCTCCTGTTTCCCCGGGAGCTCTGTGGGGAGAGGGGGGAGGTGAGAGCAGAGCATCGGGGCCCACAGGCAAGGGAGCCCCTCGCCCGCTGCTGCCGCCAACCCACAACAGGTGCTCAGAGCGGCAGAGCTGAAGATGGAGGTTCTGCCAATTGAAAAGGATGTTTAAACAGATAATTCCTTAAAAAAA